AGTAAGAGAAGTTTATGATTCAATTTTATTTTTAACTTTTCTTCATATATATATATATGATAAAATTTCAGATAGCATTTACTATCACTGATATATCTAAAATTGATAAAAGAATTTTTGTTTAATTTTAGGATTAAAAGAATGATTTTGAGAGAGCCAAGTTGTAAAGCGATTTAAATGGTTAAATTGATTGGCTCAAAACGATTGATTATTCGATGAAATGGGTGCCAAGAATTAAATTCCAACAATCGTCGTCGTATTCTTTGATGTAATGTTGAAATTTTTTTTTTTAAATTTAATTCTCTAAAATGATACTGTTGAAAAATCGATCGGATAAATTATTTATTTTTCAATAAAAACAGGACTAATTTTTATTTGTTTGAATATTTGAATTCTTTTTGTTTTATACTAATTTTTTTCAACAAATTATTAAAATTCTATAAATTAGAAAATTTCCTTTTCAGTTCTTTTTTAATATATTTTTTTACTTTTAAATTTTCATTTATTGGGATCGATTTGATAAAATTTGAAAATTTGTAACGAAGAAAAAAAAAGGCTGTCATTAAGGTTTTGCTAAATATATCAAAAAAATATATGGAGCATTATTTGTTTCGTTGTTATTTTATATATTATTGAAATTTTTCGATTTAATTTTTATAGGAAGTTTTTATTTGCTCATATCTGTCATTACGTTAATGATATGAATATTATTATTAATATCATTAACCTTTTCTGTGAATATGATTATTATTATTATTAATGTTATTATTATTATTGTTATTATTATTATTGTTTACAATTTTCCTTTTAGAAAGGAATATTTTGAAAAAAAAGAATGAAATTTACTATTTCACTTTCATTTTAGTTTTTCATTCATTTCAATAATTTCACCTTAAAGTGCTTTTTTGCATAAATGTTAAACAATTTTATGTATTATATTTCTAATGTATATTAAATATTCGTAATTCTGAAATGTATATATTATGGGAATTTTAATTAAATAATATTCCGATTTGTTTAGCTTTTGGTAAATCGATGATAGTTATTAACCTTAGGAATGAATTTAAGTACCTGTTGGGTGTAAATTAAATGGCCTAAAGATGAGCAAATAATATGGTACTCTAATTTTAACCTATTATGCTACTATTTGAAATATAAATGCGTTTTAATGTTTTCCTTCATCTTTTTTCATCATCCCTGAATGAATGGATTCCTCGGTAAGTGTCAAATTACCTGGTCAAAAAAAAAATTGCAAGAATATAGTGTATGAATATAATGTATCATTTGCATAATGGAAGGTTTTGCTTTTGGTATTCTTTTGATAATAACCGATACAATAGTAACCGAATTTGCATATGGAAAGTTTATCCTTCGATGTATGATGATAATCCGTCGTAACAAACTATATAAAATAGGCAAACAAAGAGAAAGGGAAGTCTTGAAGATATTCAACCTTTGGTACTTCTTCAGCATCAAAAATATCCTTTTAGAAATTCCCTTCTTTCTTCCTTCCTTTCTCTCTTCCTTTTTTTAATATCCGTTTTTCTTCCAGTTTTCCTGATAACCTATAAACAACAGGTGGTTATAGAGGACAAAAAAGAAAAATTCGTTTTCTTTGTTTTCTAATTTGAAGGCAAAATTGATAATAAATTTGTAAAAAATATTCAAAACATTAATTGATTATTAATTAATTTTGTTTTAATTGCATAATTAAAGAGGGAATAATTTCGTAGAAAATAACAAAAAGCACTTTTAAAATTGTTGAAAATTTTCATTGAAAGTGATACATTTAATAATATTAGGAATGATAAGTGCTTAAAGATGTCGGCTTGAAATAAATTATTAAAACAAAAAGCTTTTCAATTTCTCTCTATTTATTTATGGATACATTTAATCAATAATTCAGTTGAATTTTAATAATTTATTACAAAATTATTTCAAAAATTAGTTATTCATAGATATTACCATTGTTTATTATCATTATTATTATTTATTAATATTATTATCAATATTATTATCATTATCATTACTATTATTATTAATTATTATTCAAAAATTTTTATTGTAGAAATCATTTTAAATTCTTTTTTTTCTTCCAAATAAGAAATGAACAAAAAATAGTGATATGAATAATACCGTAGTATTTGAAAATAGTTGCATCAAAGATAATGAATGAACAATAATGATTGTTTATTGAAGCGTGCAAATGGCAGCTGTAGATGGGCGCATTTGTTACATAAACATGATTTGATTTGATTTGCTTGAATTCAATTGGTTATTTGAAGTGACCAAGAAGAAGATGAAAAGCTTTAGAAGGAGGTTGAAGACAAGACAAGAGGGAATTGATATTGAGATAAAAGGATAAATGAATAAATATTGACAAATGATTGATCAAAATTGTTAAAGGTGCGATTATATTTATTCTATCATTCTATCTGTATAAGAGTTTCACCTTCTGTCCATTACTGTGTTAATAAAGTTTATCGATAAGGATATGTTTGGTGAGTTGAACGGAGATAAGCTGAGCTGAGAAGGGTATATAGTTCGAGTTTATCTGTTGTTATCTATCATCTCTTGTGTATATATGTATGTCTGTATGGACGTAAGATGGATGTGTAAAAAGTTTTGAGGAAAGAAAACGCACATTTAGATAAAAGGAAAGCTACCGCTTCAGCTGATAATCAGGGATCAACGAATAATGGTATCAGGAAGAGAGAATAGCCGCAAAATCTCCAGATCTCAATCTTGATATCAGTAGTAGTAACAAAAGCTCTGATATGTTGTAAACCAATTTAGTGATTGGGACCGATTTCTTTTCCTTCTTTTAACTTTTAATTATATATTATATCAATATAAAATACTTTTTCTTTTTCGATAACATTGAACGAAACGATCAATAATTTATTTATATATTTTATAGCAATAGAAAAGAAATAACAAACAAATTGTACAAAATATTAATGAAAGATTAAATTAATAAAAAAATGTTCTAAGAATATTAATTATAAAAATAAATAATTTCCTCGCTAATTAATAAAATCTTAAAAAGAAATTAACACTAATTAAATGCACTTTAAATAATATAAAATAAACAAAAAAAAGGAAGTAAAAATATTGATAACAGAGTAAGAATTATGATAAGAATGTTCTGATACAGTTAATTTATTAGAATTATTCAAAATAATATCAGCTTTCAAAAATAGCTCCTTAGAATATTAGGCCTAAGATGATATCATTTTAATCAGTGATATTGTAATATATGGATGCTCTCTAAATGTGATTTAACATATCATTAAACATATCAATTTAACATATTATCTTCAGCATTAAGTTTCCTCAACACTTTTCTGATTAATTAGCAAACTTTAATCCTATTTTCTTTATTCAAATATAAAATAATCTTTTCTTAAATTATCATTTCAATGTCTTCTGAATAGAGTAATTCTTATCTAAAATAAATTAAAAGCAAAAAATATGCATAATTAAATGTTTGCTATTACAATTTAAATTAAATTAAATTTTACTAACAAAAAAGAATAAATTATATGTTGCTGATTTTAACAATTATTATTATTATTATATCATCGATATTTACTTCGTTCATCATCGTTTATACTACGATGAATTCTGAATGTAAGTTTGCCTCTTTTACTGCTATAAATTATATTTGATCATTTGTTTAGTGATTTTTGAGGCATATTTGATGAATTGTGCCATTTGTTAGATTATATGTCAAAACATACTGATATTAAACAACATATTATTATCATATATTATCAATCTTTTAAATCATTTCATTGATATTGTTTAATAATAGCTGTTATAAGTTTATCACTAATAAATAATGAAATGAAAAATCTTTCCCAAGTTGTCAAAATTTTTGAGAAATTGTTAAATGATAAAATGAGAAATTCGTATTTGCTGCTGTTAAATTGAATTTTCCTAACAAAACATTTCAAAATTATCAATTTAAGTAGAGTTATTGATAAATAATGAAACATGAAATTTATATTTGTTACTGGGAAGCTCAAATTTTCCAACAGAAAACAATTCAATCATTAATTTAAGCTATCGAATTTAGAAAGATTCAAAAAAATATGGGATAGATAATTTGCATATTTCATTCTATGAAAATAATCTCATTTTTAACTTATCAATCAATTTTTATTGTACTGAAATGAAATCGTTAAATTTCCTCTAACAGTGCAAAACAAAAATTGAATGATTGATAATTTGATTAAACGATTATTTGAGTATTATCTGAAACTATCGCATCAAAAATTTTTATCAATTTGAATAACGATTTTATTCGTTTCATTCTATTCGTTGATAGTTTTAATTTAATTTAAATCACGATCAAGAAAAAATATAATATCATCTAAAAGAAGGATATAATATCATCCAAAAGAAGACGATCAAAAAACGGTATAATATCATCCAAAAGAAAAGAAGGATATGATGTCATCCAAAAAATTGCCTGCAATTCAATTTATCTAATAAACAGGAGAATTTCTCGATATCACTGTTATCATCACTGTCACAGGTTGAATAATTGAATTACTCAACTAGCTATAAAGATCATGTTATCAATTGTTGCTGAAGATTAACCAGATCTGATAGATACGATGTTTCATAGATACAATGCATATATTTGATCGATCAGTCTAAGAAGCTATTTCATCAATTCTTATTCTGAGAGGTTTTCATCAAATATATTCCGAGATGAATATAATAGAGCAGATTGGGAAGTGATAGTTAATTTGCATAGAGTGACTGATAGTTGCCATAGAGATATAATAATTCATAATTGTTGAATTCATTGATTACATCAATTTTTCACAACAACAAGATTATTTTACTGAAGTTCTGTTTGATGATTTTTAACACCAACCTAGCAAAATTATCAATTACCTAGTTCGATTTTTAATAGCACATTTAAAATCATTCTTTTTATCTTTGGATACAAGGAACATTTTTTAAATTTAAAAAATAAAATTAACTCAAAGAACGTTATTCAACTCGTCGAATGAAGAATCATCGGGCAATTCTACTAATCTCAATGTAATTAACCATATGGTAATAAAACCTAAAATCCTTCTGATGAACAATATAAGTTCATCTACATCTGATGAGGACAATCCTTCAGAAGCTTTCTCACCTTCATCCTTCCGCTCCATATGGATTTCTATGCTTCCACTATCCTTTTTCCGCTTCTTTGATGGATATCTGTTATCCATTGCGGAGAAGGAAGAAGTAGTATGAAATTAATGGAAGCTTTATCAGATATCCTCGTCAGATGTACGCTACCGTTCAGATTTCACTTGCAGATATCAATGATTTGGAAAAATATTAATTGAAAATTTCCAAAAGTGTTGTGAAAATAATCTGAGGGATCGATCAAATTACCTAATTATATTTGAAGGAACAAAAGTTGAAATTTCAACAATTCTTTCGAAATGGAATGTAAAACAAATTTTTTCTCGAACGTCATCGAGAAAGGCATGATAATTGGAGAGATGGAGAGAGATGAGGGAGAGAGGGAGAGGCCAGGAATTGATTAAATTTGAAAGATTGACAATTAGAAAACAATAGCCAGAAAAAGAGCATGGAAAACAAAACAGAGGAGAAGTATCGAATCGGCGAAATAGTTTTTATACTCCAGTACTATACGAATATGCTAATAAGCATGATGTACTTAATTGAAAGAGAGGATGGGGGGAAAGATGAGAGAGATAGTATGTGGGAAAAGGTTGAAAAAATGTTGAAATAGGATGAAGGAAATGACAAAAGGATTGCATAATAGTTAGAGGGAGGTGCATACTAAATTCGGTTTGAAAGGTTTGTTGACATGGAGTATTTGATCACAGGTAACTTATTTATATTCACGGAAACCGGTGGTGACGGATAGACAGTGCTATTTTCTTCCCAAATCTTTCCAATAGATATGAATAATGATGGAAATAGAATGGATGAGATAGGAAGGGAAGGAAAAGGCAATACTTCTTTAAACGATAAGCAACATTGGAGGAACAAAAGGAAGACGGAAATGAAAAGACTAAAAAAGAGAGAGAGAGAGGGAGATAGTGAATATAAGTTGCCTCTTTCTAATGTGTATTTCTTTTAGACGATCGTTGCGTAGCTTTATGAGATCCGGAAGTCAACGTAGTATCGGATGACTTTCAATTTATCGTTTATTCTGGAATTTCATTTTTGATAAATCAGGAATAGCTTATATCGTTGCAAGCTTTAATATATATATTTGATGATTTTTCTGATTTTCAGCAATTAATAAAAGAAATACTAATTGAGGAATGTGAAAAAATCGCAGTATTATGATTATCGGAATGTTGAAAAGTTTCATTGTTATGTTTGAAATAATTTGTATATTTAATGGATAATATATTTTTATCTTTTATATGTTACTATCAATGGCTGAAATTATCTAAACCCATTCACCGGGAATTTTTGTTATGATAAAACTTTTCTGCAAAATTTCGTTCTTTTCGAGAAATTATCCAACGAGAGGAAGATTATTGAATTTATGGAATCGAATCATTAAGCTTTGAAAGTGCTCAAGATCTCGGGTAGGTTATATGAAAATATTACATTTTACAACAAGTAGTAATGATTATTGATTATTTCGGGAATATACAGGATTGTTTCAGGAATGTCTTTTCATATTTTACAGTCAACCACGTGCAACTTGACTAAATTAAATTTATTATTCATTAGCAGCGCTGATGTAACAGAAAACGAAAAGATGAAATAAAACTTCATACTATTCGGTTGCAGTCGAATATTTTTTAATAATTAGTTCACCGCTATTTTATGATGATAATTAAGTGATTGTTTTACTTGACCGTCAATTATTTTGTAAATATTACAGGTAGATTTTTGGAAGTTATCGCTCATATGTAGAAATTATGTTATTATGAGAATTATGTGATACTCAAATTCAATAGTTTATTATATGAATCTAATCATTCGAAAAGAAATTATTTCTTATACAGTGCTGTTTTTCTACACAACTTCAGAATATTTGTGTTGTAATTTTAGTGTGCAAATCAAAAATCGAATCGTTTATTTTCTCAATCTCTTCGAACGGTTGCAAAATGTATCACTCAAATATGCAATGTGAATATTTTGTCGCAACGGTTTTTCGTATATCGCAACCAAATATTAAGCTTACGACTATTTTGAAGAGAATAAAAGAAATATGTGATAGTTTATATTTTTTTTTATCTTTTAATGCTTTTATCCCAAAAATTAAATGATTTAATTTCATACTGATTTCTAAAACTGAAATTTGGAATTTGGTGAGGGAGAATATGGTTTTAACTAATTTTTTCGCATGAATGATACAAGTTTTCGGTGTTTTCCTTGATTTATATTACTTCAATTACAAATCGCTTTAATTTTTAAATGATTTAATTTCATTCTGATTTCTAAAACTGAAATTTGGATAATTTGAAATTTCCCATCTTCTGTTAATCTTACTAATTCCAAAGGAAAATTCTCAGTATGGTTGCGATGGTAGGAGAAGTTATTCATTGTTGCAAAATCGGCGTTTATTTTAAATGACAGTCTGTTTATATTCGTGGTTGATGTTCATCTTAAGCTACAAATAACAAATGTATCAGAGGAAATTACTTTGATTTATGTGAATAAGTTATCATGGTTGTTATGCAAGAATTTTTTTTCTTCAGAAGAGATTTGTTACGGTAGATTTATACTTATCATACATATCTAGTAGTAGTATTAATTAATTAAAACTGATACATAATAATGTACTGAATAATTTACTTACTTGCATTGGTTTTATCACATTGATGACATTTTTTTTGTAGGATACCGTTCTGGTTGTTGAAATGAAGAATAATCTCTATAATATTCTGCTATTTACACTATATTTTCCTACTGAAATATGAAATAAAGAGATTATCTAATATTTTTTTGGAATAATACATTACGAAATTGATTTCGACTTTTTGCAATATGTAAATTCCCAAACAGTAGTTTTTTTAATTAGATTAATTAAGCAAATTATTGCGCCAAAATTCAAGAATTTTATATTTCAATAAGTTTTGATCTAATTTTTTTGCAGGGAGAGATTGAAATTAACTCACTCTCGAAAAACTATTCAAAATATGATTTGGATAGCTATCTCAATTGTCTCAGAATCTTTTCGCTTCATTATTATTATGTTACAAAGTCTGACAGGAAATTTTCTGCTTCGAAATTCTTAACTCAATTCATGTCAAACTTTTAGATTAGCTGTTTCAACTTTGAATATTTAGCTAATAGAAAATTTAATTTGTTGCAAAATATGTTTTATAATTACAAATTCAAACATCTTTTTTAAAGGCAGTATATTATTATACGACAGTGCGAAAATTTCCTCGCCACAATTTGCAATATATCATATGAAATAGTTGTGATTATTAGCATAGCAGATTTTTTTCTATTGTTTTACTGATTATGCAAATTTATTAGAAACTTCAAATAATTATCGATTAAAATATTGTATCGATCATCACTTTATCTATTTCAATGAATCATATCAACTGCACGAGATTATATTCCATTCAGTCTTATTGTTTCATGATCAAATTATTATTGAATGAAGAGGCGAATACCACATTTTAAACAATCTTAAGTTTTTATTTAGAAGTGAAAAATGCTTGCAAGAATTATATGCAATCTTTCAATTATTTCATCTAAAAATTGATAAACAATAATGACGGAAAATGACGGAAACGGAAAAACGGAAAGAGAAACCGGTTAAAGAAGAAAATATTTTATATTATCCATCAATTTTTTTTTCTAAATAAAATAACTGAAACTTTGTTTTACATCGTAATTTAGAAAGTTTTTATTATAGACGGTGTAAATTTACATAGAGAGGTTTATTTGTTGAATGGATTGGTAGCACGGAAATGTGAAGCAAGTAGTGTTGTATAGAATGGGAATAATGGATTGATGAGGAACGGAAATGATTCGTTCATTTCGCATTCGCGGAATCCTTTGGCAAATGGATTACTCTCGATTTTTAGCTCTGTTATCTAGAAGAAACAGAAATAAAAAAATAATTAAATTAAATTTGACAAAATAAATTTAATCTAATTTTCCTCTCTATCTTTCAAGAGAACTCTGTTATCGTCTATTTCTTCTTACTTTGCTTTCTATAAATTGATTCATAAGATTCAGTGGTTTTTTGCAATCGGAATTGCTGCTCGAAGAGTTAGTGATATAATGGAACTTTGAATTTATCCTCTTACCCGATGATTTTGATAAGCAGTAACAGCCATGAATGATGTATTGGGAAATGAAAATGTTCGACATTGACGTCCATTTCCATCAGCGTGTACTACCACATGTACATTTGGTTGATAACGATGCATCGAATTTACTATTATCTGCAAGCTCATATCATCTAGATATTGGTACTGCAAGGATTTTGCATGCTAAATATACTGCACTATTTAACTCTTATAAACGTTTTAAATTTTGAGTTTCATTTTAACGAACTTAAAACAAAATTTAACTTCCCCTTATTATTGTTCAGAAAATAGTTTGACAAGAGGACTGCGATATTGATGGATATAAAAAGCTACCAGAATTTCTTAAATTTTAGTATAATGAAAAATTCTGATCTATAGGTGAATTAGAATTCAGCGTAATTGGAATCAAATTTCACTATTCAATTTGAGCCATTATTCTACTAGGGAACATAAATTTCTGATAATTTGAAGATTAGATTAGCTTTTTAATTTACGTGTTTTTTCAGCAACACTTTTTTACAAAGAGTTTCATTTTAAGTTGAAAAGTTCCATTCATATTTAAAATGATCATTTCAAATTTATACATTAGCTAAAATCAAATTTGATCTTTCTTCCCATTCGCTTTAATTTGAAATTTTATAAAATTACATTAACTATTTCACATGAATTTATCATCCTCAAATAATGAGTCATGTTTAAAAGTAAATATAAAGTATAAGTAATAAAACGCACATGTCCGTTCTGATCTAACTGGTTGTTGGTTAATTTAATTTTATCGAAGGATACTGTTTGACGCATCCAATGTTCACCAGGAGCAGGTGATTCACTGTGCACATGAACTCGACATGGTAATTCCGCTTCTCCTATAATTCATAAAGAATTCTCTGAATTTATCAATAAGTGTTAAGATGGATAAACGGATGAATTCTTTTTTCTAATATCTTGCAAAACATTTGGTATCGTTGTGCTGATCTGCGATTTAATTCAGCATAATTAAATAAATATAAATAAAAATGAATTCAAAATCAGTTAAAAGACCTAAATAGAGAATTATCCATTCAATTGTAAAATTTGGGAAATATGAAATCAGTTAGTTACCTGGTCCAGCAACGATCCATTTTGATTGATGAAATGCGTAACGGTACCTTTTGTTATCGATACACGTCAAATCGACCATTAATGAGTAACGTACAGATGGTTCCAGGCCAGATATTGCCAATTGCAATGTTGGAAACATACGTCTGGAAAGTAATACAATTTGAAATAGCACTGAGCAAATTTAAAATCCAACAAATCTGGCATTAATTTTTTGGAATGAAATTATAGTCTATAAATGTTATCACTTATCATTTCTGTTAAAGAAGATAAAGAAAGAAGACAAAAATATAAGGCGAGAAATTCATTTGTAACATTTGTCACTATAATGCTTTTAATTTCACAAATTAGTAAATCAATTTTTTAAATCAAAAATCTATGTGTCAAATTAAAATTGTACAGACTGTCAACAATTCTTTTTGATTTGATTCATTTTAAATCTGTGATCAATCTGTTTCTAACTTCTTACCTTACGGATATAACAGTTGCCTCAACAAATTTGCCAGAATAAAGCAACAAATAAATTTGGAAGAATCAAAAAAAGTTAAATACTTATAATATTTAATTAGTAATGACATAATTAATACATGATGTTATGCGGTAAGCTACTATTATCAGATTTTGAATTCTTTCATGATAAAGGATACTATAATTTCCTGATTTATAAAAGCTTCTATAAATGGTTTTCCAGAAATACATGCTACCGAATTTCTCGAATTATCCTTAAATTAAGATCACCTAACTCCTGATCCACCCACCTTATTACTATCCGGAAGATATCATAGAAAGTTATAGTTACTAATTTTGTTAGTATTAAGGAAAAGCATATTCCTAAATTAACCTTTTATCTTCCTGATTTATTAAGAAACAAATAGACCCGAATATCTTTCTTCAAGTCGGTTAGTTATAAAAACTCATGTTTGATATGAAGAATAGTTTGGAAGAGTTTAAAGTTGAAGTTAAAAAAGTTTTGTTGAATAATAGTAGCATTATCAGTAGGTAATACTGGAAATTCCAATTTCAATATAAAAGAATATCATTTTTGATTTGATACGTTACTATATCATTTTTATTTCAAAATCTGTCATGTATACTTTTTAGTATATCGAAATATTTTTTTTTCATATAATGTATTTAACAGATTATATCATTATAATATCAGTAAAGGTCAAAGTATTATTGTAAATGAAAAAACAAAAATTTATTTACAAAGCTCTGTAATCATATTTTACATAATCTTCATCTTAATGCTTTGTGATATTGGTTCTTCAACTGTCAATTGGTACATTTTATAGAATTATTTATATTTATATTTAAATATTAATTTTCATTTAGAATTGTAAAAATGCTGCTCAGCACTTTATTTTATTTTTTCCATGCATTAAATTGAAAAGTTTTCTTTTTTGTCTTTCATTTCTTAATTTTTTATTTTGTTTTATGAAAATAATTAATGAAATACTTAATTGTCAAATGCCATACGATAGCATTACTATTTTAAATAATTTCCTCGTTATGAATTAATTTTAAATATACTGCATTAGCAAATTTACATGAAGATTTTGTGTATAAATGGCTACTAAAAACCGTAATAATAATAATAGCGATAATAATAATAAATAATAATAAATAATAATAATGATAATAATAATAACAATAATAATAATAATAATGATAATAATAACAATGATAATAAATGTTGCATTGTTTTTATTCAAAAAATTGAAGTTGATTAATAGAATAATTAATCAAAATTTGTTTGTTCTTTCATCTTTCATAATTTCCGTTTTTTTACTAATAAGGACTATAGTAAATAAAATGGTGAATTGTTGGAAGCAATAATTATTATGCTTATTTTAGCTTGCACTTCAATGAATGATTAATAAAATAAGGATGCTTTCTTTTTCTGCCACTATAACTATATTTAATTTTATTTCAACAATTAACTTTTACTACAAATTAACAGCAAAAGTTAATTGTTAATAGATAATTAAAATTGATAAAGTTAAGGTAATATAAGTTGAAACATAGAAAAAGAACAGAAAAAAATTATGATAGCTAATCACTTATCACAAACTTACCTTCCAGTTTTTGTAACAATCATTTCGGTACCGTATGCATGGAATTTATTCCATAATGTGGAACCTTCCAAACGCATGGATACATTACGGAGTGCCGGATGATAATCTTTTAATATAACAGGTGCTTTCTTCGTAATCATGTAATAATTGGAATTATTTTCAGTATCATTAAATTTATTGTTGTTGTTGGTACCACAATTGAGCGTAGTTTTCGATACTATAGGAAATAATTTCAGAGTATCCGATATTCGAGTTTTATCCGAGCAATTATCATGAAGTTCAGTATCGAGTTTGCTATTATTATTATCGGTTACGGTATCACCGATTAAATATGCGATGCTGAAAGGCTTTGTAGACATGCTGACGCCTTGGTGAAGAAGTTTCACATCACACTAAAGCAGCGATAGCTGATATTATTACAAATGCCTGTGGTGGTGATGGTAATGGCGGTGGTGGTACTGGTGGTGCTAATGTTATTGTCAAAGAATTGCAGAGTCGTGAAACATTCTGAGGAATGTAGAAAAGATGGGATGAGGTTTGCAACGCATAAAAAAGTGGAATTTTTGATTATTTGTCTCGAGAAATGTGAGGGCAGCAACGATAATGATGATGATGATGATGATGATGATGATGATAACAGTAGAGAGATGATAATAGGGATAATAGTGATAATAGTAGTAATGTTAGTAGGCTCATCAAAAGTAATATTATCAAAACACGTGGTGGAATGGAAAGTTTTATTGAAGTAAGCTATCATTACCATCTGGCAACAATATTACAGTAGTAATAATAACAGCTTTCACATATGATCCTCACAATATACCGTACGATTGATAAATGTGAAATTATATCCTATTAATCTCATCAATCAAATAGTGATGATGATGATAATAATAATAATGAGGAGAAGAGAAAGATGATGATTGGAAGGATCCTTTACACAACCAAACAAATCTGATTCAAATTATTGTTCAATAAATCAATTAAATATTTTAATTTTTTAACAAATTACTCATCTTACTAATTACTCATTACTAATTATTCATCTTTATTTAATTATTATGCTTACTAATTTTTTCATATATATTTGTAAAAAAAATTATTTCTTTAGAAAAAGAAAATGAAAAAATCATTTGTTTCATGATAATACGATTATCACAAATGAATCAGTTAGTTGATAATCTTATTGATGGAATTAACAATTGGCTGCAACGGATAATGTAATGTTATCCTTGATAAATTTTATATGAGAAGATGACAATAAACAATGTTATTATTGATAATAACGATTGATGATTAAGTGATATGCTGTAACCACAAATTAATTGTCACGATAACAACTAATAGTCTTAATCTTATAGAAATCAGTTTTGTCAAACAAATTCAACACAAGAGATAACACTTGCCATCTCAATGCACACATATCATTTAACACTTCTCATTCATATTCCTCAAGTTTTGTTATTTATAAACTGAATAAAAATTTTAAACAATATTTTTCATATTGTATTATTATACTTTTATAGTCACAAGTTGCTAAAATTGATAATTCATTTTGACAGATTGATATTGAAAAAATATTTGATATTTTCCACGAGGTAGAATATTCTCATGTAGAAGTTATTCATATATTATTAATTGCTTGTGAAATTATCGATTTTATAATCCAGAATTTATTTTACTTAAAATCTATACCGTATAATTATACTTATAGTTCATAAATTACTTCTTTAAATTAACTCTCAGACTATCTCTTATAAATTATAAAGATTCTATCTTGTCTCTGCAAATTCAGCCTATTTCAGAAATCAAAAAGCTGACAGACTCTTACATATTTTTTTACCTTTAAAAAAATTTAGCAATTATACAAGGCATACAATTCCAATGACTAGATCTGTTTGTAATTGTGAGGAACTTATCGAAATTAGAACTTCAGGATGAATGTTATCAAGTATCACTAGCACTTCACCTCACGTGCGTATTTCGCCTTCCTTCTATTTGCATTGATTTCGTCAAACTGTTTTATAAAATAAAAGATCGTTTCTTTATTCCTTCATCCAACCGAACAGCAGCTCATGATGGATTAATAGGCCACTTTACGATTAACCACAAGGGGAAGAATGATGCTACCGAAACATCTGGCAATATACTAACAGTTCAAATAAATCTATGTCTTCCCTGTATTTCAAAATGTTTTCAAGATGTTCAGATCTGATGGAGATTTATGAATCGGAAAAATTTACAGCTTCCTTTCCAAAACCTCTATCGTAAAATATTTTTAACGATTCTTGATTGGTTTACAATGAATTCTAAAGTTTCCTATTTCTTGCTTGCTGCTTGCATTGGCTAAAGATCTTTTGACAAACATTTTATTACTGCAAATACCAACAATGATGATTTCATTGCAACAATAACAACAACAATGCCAATATTTTATTTATAATAGAAAAAGTAAAATGGAATAAATATTATCATCATTGATCCCGTTTTATCTGCCTGGCCACAAGAAGATAATCCAATGTATACCTATTTTGATCAACCCTGAAAACATCACATTTGTCAAAATAAGAATTCAACACTTCCGATAAAAAAACAATTTTTTAATAATCCATACATACCTTTCTTCTAAGCTGAATGTTTTCAAAATGTTAAAAAATATTTTCCAATCTATAGCAAATAATAAACTGTGATAATGAAGAATTATAGCCAAAGTAAAAAATGATCCTTGTTTATGTCACTGTTCACACAAGAAAAAGTTCTGTATCATCAATATAGAAATAAAATTCAATTCCATTTAGGATTTCAACAGATTATTTAAATCTTTTATCGAATTCAAGAAATCCTTCATACACACCATTAATGATAAACAAAACTTTTGCTGAGAAATAAAAGCTAGAAGAATGAAATGGTGTAGCATTCACTATGTTAAGACTTACAGCTTTGTTATTTGATTTGCATAATCGGATAAACGTTGTTGCAGTGCGGTTAGGTAAGTTAAATTTACAGCTCGATTAAGCTTTATTTGATATCCGTATTCCATTAGCAAGCTTTTCAGCCAAAGCTGCCAAAAATGGATATGCTTCTCAACGGAACCGTTAACGTTTTCAGAGAGCCATTTCAGTAATTTCTCCGCATAAGCAACACATAATGAACGTGTAGTAATACCGACTGAAATAATGCTAAAAAAATTGTTCCCTAAATTGAACATTTCTTCTTTTATGGTAGAACAAAGCGCATAAAGTGGAACTCCATTCAGCATAGAAAATCCAAAAAATAAAAAGCAAAAGAAAACTGGTGGATTATTTGCAAAAATTATAGACTAGTCTTTGGATTAACAAATGACTTGTGAAAATCTTCACAAAATCCCATTTAAAAAAACATAAACCATACTCTGCGCTACAGGTGTACATAGTAATACATTTTCGATCATTTCTGTTTGATTCAGCTGCAATGCCATTTTCAGTGCTGCCGAATACTCTCCCTCCTTCAATGCATTTTCAACACTAACCGGAGTTACGTGTATTCCAAGTTCAAAAGGATTGAAAAGATTACGACAATCAAGCGAAAACACAATAACACCTTCTGTTGAACAAACTGCAAAACTACGACCTGAAAAAAAGAACATTTTCACTTCTTAAGTTTTGGAAAAAAATAATGTTATGATGCCATCTTTGTTTCAAAAATATCCACAAAATTATCAGTTATTTACCTGCAGGTGAGAAACTTATGTCTTCAACACGCATTTCTGGTCGAGAGCAGCGCTCCGAAAGATCTGAATGTCGAGTACCTGGAAGTTTTATACGTTTCTTACCATCCGCTTCTTCTTCGCTATCGCTAGCATCAATTAACATCATATTACCGAACTCCGTGAACTTTCGCCGATTTATATCCATCTAAAATCAAGACACACAGGAATGTAAAGTCCACCAAAATTTTTATGATCTTTAAAATAACATACGGTAACGCCATCCAAACTGCGATTCGTCGTTAATTTCAATTTTTTTACTATAAGACGTTCCGCAACGCTATATAAACATATGTAATTCGATTGGCCAGCAGCAAGAAGTAATGTACCATCAGCGGAAAAACATATGCAAGTGAAAGTTCTAAAAAGATTAAAATTACGACAAAATCATCCCAAAAATCGAATAATAAATCATTACTCAAATATCTTTCAAAATTTGAACAGAACCAAAATTACCTGCTCTTTTCACTTGTTTGCTTTTTAATAAGATCAGTAGCTCTGCGTGCAGCATCGACGTCGAGAGCTGTATCTATTGTACCAAGCTCTGTCGATGTTTGAGTCTCGAAAAGACTCACAGACGAATCAAGACATAACACCTGGAATATAATTTGGTATTTCTCTGTAGCTAATTTAAATCTACTTGTCTTTTTTTTAAAATCTCTTTTTATTATAAATCCAAATCAATTTATTAAATCTAAATTTATTTGTTCAAGAAGAAAAGAATTTACAGCAAGTATTTCACCGCCAGGAGAATAAGCTACATCAAGACCTTCGTAAAGTAAATCAATGGATTCTGATATTGATGATTCAACAACATTCCATATACGAAGAGTTTTATCCCAAGATGCCGAAGCCAAATGTGTACCTGAAAACTTAAATTCCATGCATGGGTCCACTTTGAAACGCTGTATAGCTTTGGATCAATAACAGAAGATTTTCACAGTACACGACTGACATTATAGAACTTTCCACTACAAAACAGAACAAAAAGTAGAGATTCCTCCACTGCCGAACAGATGATATCGACTTTCCAAGCAATACTTAAACGCTGACCATGAACAGAAATAGAAGCAACTGGAGCTGAATGTCCAGATAAGACATCCAGTAATTTTCCGTTCTCAAGACTCCATACATAAATGTCGAACATTTCTTTCGAACTTGCCATCACAAGCTCGGCAGCCGAATCAACTGCTAGACAACCAAGCTGTGTCTTATCAGGACAAACCAAGGTACGGAAATTGCGATATCTATAATATGCGTTTGATTTGAATTAAAAACTTGTGCATTCATTAACATTATCTTTAAATCACTAAAAAGTTCTTTGACTTCAACCAACCTAACTAAATCATGTGCTCGTACAGTTCCATCTAGCGATGCTGACAGTAAAGCTTTGCCATCGGATGTCCAATAAACTGCACTCACTCCACTGCTATGTTCGGTAAATGTTACAACACAAAACGAGGACCGACAAGACCAAACCTTCACCTAAAATTTTGAATTTAATATTTAAGTCTTAACTTTTTTAAAAGTTAGAAGGCCAAACTTTGGAAATCAGATGGAAACGTATGGAGCAAATGGAACCTTTCCGTCCTCAGCACCGGTAGCAATTTGAGATCCATCGGGTGAATAAGCAACTGTTGTGATAGACTGGCTATGTGATTGTTGTTTCATAACGTAAGTTTCACTTTGCCACTCCCAAACCACTAATTGACCTTCGGTTCCTTGTCCACAAGCTATAGCTATCCAATCACCCGATTTATTTATAGCCAAGGATGACACCTTTGTTTCCGACACCCTTCATTTGAGAAAAGATTAGAATCGCGCAAAAATCATAAAACTGTTTAAATTAGTTAGAAATGCACCTAATTCAATTCTTTCTGAAAAGCTAACAGAGCTGAGAAATAAAAACTGCAGTTACTAATTAATGTCCTCTGCATCAAAATGGTGGCTGTTTCACTAATTGTTATTATGAATACAAAAAAAAACGTCATATTTTATAGAATTAAATTTAGCGCCTTAAGCTACATTATTTTTCAACAAATGGTAATCGCTGACAACTACCGACAGACAGGAAAAATAATTTACCGTAAACTATAAATGAGATTAAAATTTGGCATTTCATGCAAAAGAAATGCTCCGTTTGAAAATGCGGTGACCAATAACGATGTTAATGGATGATAGGCACTCGTTATGAGATTGACGCCATGTGCATTATCCAAATGTTCCATCATAAAATGTCTAAACGATTTCGCAACAATCAGAATAAAAACAAGTATAATCTTAACTGTGATTTTGCCTAAATTAAACGAAACTATAATTTAATGTCGAAACATAAATAATGACTCTCCACAGAAAGAATAATAAATATGCAAAAGATCGAAAGAAAAACAGAAAAGAAAATGATAGGTTATAGCAAATCACAAGAATGTCTTCCTCTAATCTTACATTATAAATAAAAAATCAAACCAAAAATATTACCTCTTCGTTTTATCATACCACATTTTCCTCACATCTTCATTACTATTTTTGGAACGTAATCCTTCAACGAAATCTTCTTGTTTCAAAGCACAAGTCCAGTGATTAGCTAATCCACGTTTGTCAACTGATATTAACTGGAAAAAAGGAAAAATACATTATTACAGCTGAATAATTTTCAAAATATTTCCCACAGGAAAAAATTGAGTCTGACTAAAAGAATGACTTTAATTTAGAAATTAAATATAAGAAATATAAAGTTTAGATGCAAAACATTAACTCCAATGTGACGAGGAAAGAGCGACTAAATTATCAATAAAGAACAAATCTCATCAGGATTTTATTTCTTCCTAAGTGCGTACTTGCTCAATGTTAGGAGACTTTTATGAATATATGCATCTCTTGAAAAAATGAATTGATAATGAAGCAAACACCATATCATTTTATAGTTCCCATTTTATAGCTATTAATTCAGTTAACTCAAATTTGAAACAAATAAAAGGAAAAGACCAAAATTTACATCGTATGAATTGTGGCAAAAATGACTGCCGACTACTTCTGCTTTATGTGCGGCCAAAGCGTGAAGAAAAAAATTTTTCAAACTATCTACAGCTGAAACCACTCGCACTTGCTTGTCTTCTGAACCCACTACCAGAAGTCTAAAATAAAACAATAACACAAAACTTCATTCACAAAAATTAATACAAATAATCAATAAAAAGAAGTGAGAAGCTAATCTTGAACAGTTTACAAAGAATCCGTTAAAATAAGAAAATTACCTGTCATCATAGCTCCATTCCACATTTTTCGTTTTTTCAGCAGTGATTTTATGAGTATTTAGCAGCATAAATGGATTTAATTGAAAATTTTCAATCCCTGCAACTAAAAATACCTGTACATCGCCACCTCGACAAGCAGCCAATCGCCTGAAAAGAAGTTTTGTTTCCGCAAAAAACGACATAAGCTTAATTTCATTCCCAAAGAAATTTGAATATTTCGCCTTTATAATGTAAAAATATATTTCAGTTGAAGTACAAACCTGCCATTCATCGAAAACTTGACATCACTAACATGAGCTCGAAAATGATGTCGATACAGAACAGTTTGCGTGATCAAGTTAACATACTGACCTTGTCCAGCTATAAAGTAAAATATTATCAGCAAATAACATCAACGTGAAGTATTTTAAATGAGAAAAATAACTGCGTGGATGATGAAAACAAATAAATTATGACAAAAAGGATTAAAAATAAAAATAAAAATAACCTTCATTGATCAAAAAAGCGTGTGTTCCAGATGGATGGACTGTTACCAATTTAATGTTGAAGTTTGACTCGATGGCAATTGTATTTGCTTGGTTGCTATAAACAACTAACATTATTATTCAAATTATGTTTAGCAATACAAAAAGTCATTATGTAGAACCTCAGTAACAACAATAAGAAACTGTAACGTTAAACTCACTTTTTCAGATCAAATACTGTGACTTTATTACCAACTGGACTGATAACTGAATTACCATCAGTTGAAAATGTAACGTTGCCATTACGGTAAACAGTACCGATAAGGCTTGAAAACTAAAACAGAAACAAACTGGTCAAAGCACAAGGTTCAGTCCTGATTTATAGCATGTTAATTGCATATAAAATGGTTTTTGCAAGAACTACCAGAGCAAGTAACATAATTAAAAAGAAAAAAAAGATTGCTAACTAGCGCCAGCAATAAAAATGGTCATAAATTCGTACTTTCATCTTCTAAAAGTAGTACAACATGCTATTAATTTAAAGACCAACTTTGAAATTAATGCTCATAAACGACTGCCTTCTTCCAAATAAAACTCGACTTGAATGAAAGTTCCAAAGTTACAGAAAAAAAACCAATTCCTGTGAAAGGTGCAAAAATTATTAAATCCTTAAAAAAAAGAATTTGATGACGTTTATTCCAGAAGTGTAGAGCAAAAAGTAAAATAATATGGTATCAGATTACCAGCATAACTCCATATTTACTAATCTGTCCTGTACATCCAACTTTCTCCATTCTTTATTACTTTCATATATGCATAAATTATAAATTAAATATATTAAATAAATTAAATTAAATAAATTAGTAAATAGGTCAACAATAAAGCTCAATCTATTAAACAATAAGCTAGCATGAAACAAAAATCGAAACTGCAAGTCTTTACTTAATTTAAACAAATATAACTCCTTCTAGCGCAAAAATATCACAGTTATAAACAATATAATTCATAAAGCATGAAATTTGCTCTCCTAAACATTATCGCTAAAATTTACAATTTATTTTGAGCAGCACTTTTTTCAACGGAGTTTTGCTTTCATAGTGGACTCTTTCTTCCTACTTGCAATAGCATCTAACAGTAGACCAGTAAACACAATACCGGTGGCTAAAAATTGCCTCTGTGTTAGAGTATTACCAAATAAGATCACTGAACCGAGCATTGTGAATAGTTTACGTGTTGTTGTTATAACCGAACAAGTCAATGGACTGAACTCTGTCACAGTTTTGAAAATGAAGAACTGAAAATTTTCATTAATTATTATAAGAAATCATTTAAAAGATTGCAGTTTCTGAACCTACAGAAACTAAGTTTACAACTCTTGGAAATGGAAAGAAAAATTACAATTAAAAAAATGATACCTGCCCCAGAGCACTTGCAGCAGCAAGGGTAAATAGCTTTATTATTACTTTTGGATAAGATTGCACAAATATCGTGAAATCAAATAATTCGCCAGTTAGAAGCACACCGAATAGAAGATACAACGAAGAAAATAAGTTCATATAATACATCATGACATGAGCATTTGCCTTATGCCGCTGACGGATTCTATCCTGTATTGCGCCTGTGGTGCCATCCATTGCCAACGACAGCAACTGTAAGTTTGATGCACTTCATCTTTTCTATTTGATTCCAATAAAGTACATCTAATTTTGACAAGTATTAGAAACAAATCGGAATACTTCTCCGCGAAAGTCAATTAATGGCATCATGGTTCAGCCAAATGTCTGACGGATGTCATATGAACTTGAATAACAGTAAAGAAATATTTATACATACTATGGAATGCACAAATGTCAAGGTATTTAATCAATTTTCAAGGACTAAATATACTTTAAAGATATAACATATTAACTTTCCACTGATTACAGATGTTATTATACGTCGGTCAGACACGTTCGTCAATCAAAAGAGGTTCATTATCAACTTTAAAATCTACAAAAGTCACAATAACATACCAGTAATAGCTCACCAAAACCTAAATTAAAAACAGATTTTCCATGTATTGTATCCGCTTTTTCCTTATACAGGAATAATCCAACACCCAACACAATCATCAAAACACAACAACATTTCTTCAGATGATATCGCTTATTAGAGAAAAGAAAACTGAAAACCATTATCGGTATTGGTTTACACGATTTACCCAACACCTAAAACAAAATTTAAATTCAGTAATACGTAAAATAAAAATACAATGCGACCTGTTCACTTTTATACAGAAATATCACAAACAATTCTTTCCTTCACAGTAGCAACTAATCTAACCCTGTTTCCGGAAACCGACAAAAATCTCATGAATTGCGAGCTAAAATCGCCACATTAACATTGAAAACTGTCTCATACATCTAAACAAATATGTAAGCATTGAAAAATGGCCAACCTGTGTTGGATACGGTATATACTGAAGTGCATGATTATTTGTGACCATTGCAAATAAATAACTAGTGGACGCAACAGCATATGTACACATCGGAACACTATCTCTCGTTTTACCTCTCAAAATATAAGCAAACATTGCATTTATAGCGCATTGTACAAATACAAGTGCTTGTGTGTATGTGAAACGCTCTTTACCATCGGAACCATATTTACCCTTTATTCTGAAACATACAAAAATTAGTTGATACGTACTTATTACCTTTCTTTTTTAAAAAGCATATATTTCAACCAATTAATATCCTCAGTAACATGCTTTCAGGTTCCCGAAAAAAATCTTTATTTCAAACAACAGTTAAAAGCCAAAAGCTTACATTGATTCTTGAATGATTCCAAACCAAAGATAGCAAAGAATAGTGCCACTGGCACAAAATATTAGACTGGCTACTTGTTCCCACCGCGATTCATTCATGCAAACTTCGTTTCTCAATTTCTTATAATTATTAGTTGTTTCACAAACTTCTTTCATCCCTGAAAATCCACGTATGTACTAAGTTCTGCTAAATACTGCTTCGGATAAAGCGTATGCATTTATTTGTTAGTTTCCTTAATTTGATGAGCATGATAGTCTCTTATAATTCAGTTCAATTCATTAACTCAATTTATCTCAACAAGATTTGATTACAAAAATAGTCTGAGATGACCAATCCCTCAAACTAAGCAAGAAATCCTACCAGTAAAATGTTTAGTGATAGTGATAGGCGATTTTCTTATATATTTAACGCAAGACTTATCAATGAGACAATCTTTACGCATCTTTTTATATCGAAGGAAATTTTTTTAACTCAAAATAAACAGCATATTTCCTAATGCATAAATATAAAATTGAAAGCAACTTTAATAGTTGGACAGAAAAAAAGATTATACCGTAAAATCTGCCACTGAGATAACAAGTAAGAGGAAAAAACTATTAAAGCGGATGAGATGGTAGAAACTAATAAAGTTATAGCAGGAATGATCTAAATTAATATTATATTTCATACTAAGCAAATATATCAAATAAATATAACAAACAAAATATATGTCGCAAAATAATATAAAAAAGTATTATTTCTCTTACTGATTTTTAGCTTCTTATGTCACACACACACGAAAACACTTAGCTGAAGAATGCAGTCAAAAAGTAGGAACAATACCAATGTACTCACTTTTTCATCACACCTTTTCTATCACACTTTCTCATACAGCTCCTTAATGGACAATTGATATAACGAATTTGGCTACTTGCTCTTAAACCTCCTGTAGGAGTAGAATTTGGAGATCATTTCAAAACCAAAAGCACTTATGCAGCTCAATATTTTTGAAGTTTCCAGTCGTTGCGATGGACAACGTTGACGAAAGTTAGGATTGGTGTAGTAGTAACTATAATTAGTAATATCTTTTCTTATTTTAAATTTTATTAGAAAGAACGAAATATCAATGTAATCTGTAGAAATCTGCCAATCATCGTACTTCATCTTTCATTTGTCATTCGTTTTCATTTATTGTTGTTGTGTTACCGTTTATTTCTAGATCACTGTTCATTTCTAGGATGTTACTGTTCATTTCTACGTGTTTCACCGTATGGTATTTTTTCAGCATTAATTCTTTATTGTATTATCTGAGATTGTGTAGACGATATTTTTTCAAATCACTTTTCAATGTTGTTTTCATAGTTTTTTAATTTTCCAAGTTTATCAGTGGACTTAATTGTACCTTTTATTGCTAGCTACTGAGCACAAATATGTAAATTGCTTTTCGTCGACTAATGAAACTCCATATATTAATAGTTTTGATTCTGCTACTAATGGTTTTAGTTCTTATTGCGAAATTAAATTTCAATTAAATAACTCGTTATATAACCTGTGTTTATTTAATTTTTTGTGCAAATGTTACTGATAACAGACATGTTTTTAGATTTATAATTTATACCTACTCGATGGATGAAACTGAAAATGTTGTAGTGGAAGATAATTCCCGGACACAAGGAAACGATGACAATGAAGTAATGTGCCCCAAATGGGACGCTACGCAGAAAAGTTCAACGGATGAACTTGGGTTTCAGACAGATTTCCATATAGGCGACATTTCCAAGGTTGCGCATGAAGAATCTAATTCGCCGGAGCATTTTGCATTAGCAATAAAAGGTCATGGAGAAGCAGCTGCAGAGATGACATGTTTGCATTCTGGGATAAACGAAAACCAAAATTTGGATATTAACGAGTTTGATGCCACTGGTAAAGAAAATCAGTGTAGTGATGGAAGTAGCGCTGGAAACGTAACTGAGTTGACAAAGCAAAGCTCATCAGAGATATCACAAAATAAGGTAATATCTTTGCTTAAGTTAGTGTCTAGCATGTCCTATTGTACTAACTTTGCTTAAATTGCTCTTCACAATTCAAGCGTGTTAAGAATAAGTTCCAGAAATGTCGTGTCTGTCATTTACTTTTTTCTAAAAGTGAAAGAACTTGCTTTAGAATGGGGAAGCCACGCATGACAATCCAGAAATAGCAGAAACGCGAAGTGTTTACAATGCTGAAAAATCTCATTCACAAGGTTAGTTTAAATAAGCTAACTTTAACTAAATGAGACAGGAAGAACAAAATAATTGAACTGAACGTTTTCTTTTCAAACCATATTTTTTCTTTTCAAATCATATTAAGTTAGTTTTATTACTTTTAGAGAAGCAAATTCCAAAAATGGAAGTATTTTCTTAAATAATTGCTCAGTATCATCTAAATGTTTGATGGTTACTAATTATAGTTGTAATAGACGTTTAGCAAGTGTCTTAAGTTTTAAACTGATTCTAAATGAAATTACCTACTTCTTCATGTACAAGAAGTTTAAGATAATGTGATGAATTTTAAATAAGATTCAAAGTAGTAGGAATCAATGAAAAGTTTAATCTTAACTTTTATTATATTATCTTAAATCTATAAAATGGAGAAAGATGCTCAAAGATAACAGTTATTTTATCTCATCCTTTATCGTTTTACTTTCAGGTCCCAAACACTATGTTCCTCCAGGTTGGGTTTATCACGGTGAAAGTGACGGGTATCGCTATTACATAGGTTGTGTAGGAGAGGTAAGTGTCAGTGTCATTGCATTCACCGTTCATACCAATTTTATTTTTTCGAGTTATTTGAAAACTTCATTTTTTTAATATTACTGACTTCTGGAATATAAAAGTAATGCCTAAAGTTATTTAACAAGAAATATATATTTTGCATATTTTGCTTAATTATTTTGTATGTTTTGCTTGTAGTTTTCATAAAAATAATTTTTACAACAAATGTTTTCCACTTTTTGTTAGTAGACAAGTAGCCGTATTGATAGGTATGGAAATCCATTTGTCTCTTATAACCAATTGATTTTTTTTTTGCTAGGCGTTATTGATCACTATATATTTACTTAAGCAACGTATTGTTAGTTACATATTTTGCTTGCTATATTGAGCGGTCGGTTGGTCATGCGCTTCTTTAGTTCAAGGGCATACGTACAACCGAATATCCATCGTGCTACACTTTCGGTTCGCCAATAATTCTCTTAAGTTTTTGGTTTAGTATACATTTAGAAGTAATTATTTTAAGAATTTTTGCGATAAATGCTACTTGTTGAAATATCGCAATATTGTAAGCCAATATTATTCCTATCCTACCATAGCTTTTATAAGTGAAAAAAAACGAGACATTTTCAAGTAGATTTTTTGAGAGGTCTCCACTGAATCTTGTTCAGCATCTTTTCACAATGTAGGATAGGATTATTAGTGGTTGGAAGTTTCCTATTTAGGGGACCTATTTCCAGAATTGCTTAAATGGCCGTTTTAAAAATGTCCAAATACGTCGGAAAGCTTTAAAAATTGTCACATGTTACTACGAGAAATTCGCTTTGTTTCATTGTTGTCTCTTTCAGGGGACTAATGTACTTTCATATTCATTATGCAGCCGCTCAATAACTGATCAGACATCTCTGAACATCTAGCTTTAAACTGTAATTTAGAACTCCCGTAGAAGTTTTGAAGCATTCTAGCAGTATATCCATAATGTAAAACATTTTTTATAGATGTATTCAGTAGACAGAGATGGTTACTGGTACATGCAGGATAGCAGCGGCAATTTTATCCCATACAACGGTTATCAGTACAATCGCGGAGCGCACAGTTCCCTATTTCCACGTGACAGTCAAGGGCGGTTTATTTTACCAATGAATGCGCGTGGTGAAAAAGCTTTTCCAGTGGATACAAATAATATGCCAATTTTTCCGTTCGACACATCGACTCATTTGCCTACTTTCCCTGTAGATGAAAATGGACAACCTGTATTTCCAACTGGTGCCCTTGGAAGACCCATTGTACCGATCGATACGAACGGTAATTCATTTTCTTCAATAAATGAATTTTGCATTTTAAAGAATTAGCATTTTCTTTGTCAAATTCTTGCGGTCTTTTTTTAATTCTTTTCAGATTCAGAAAATTTAATTCTTTGTTGCATTTATGATATGTTTGTGTACTGCAATAGTTTTATCAGGAAGTTTTTTCACTACTAAATTTTTTATCCACTTGCAAAATTGGATGAGCTGCAGCATATTACACAGTTTTGCGGAATTAAAGTCTTGGCAGTTGTGTTAAAAACTTTTTTTCATAAGTTTTTCGTTTTATAATAGATTTGTAGGTACACTTTTTTATTGTAATCTTATTTTCTTTATAAATTTAGTTCTGTTTAGGTAACATTAGATAAAGAAATCATTGCTGCTATGAAATTATTGCATACAAACTTCAAAAGATTAGATGATAGCTTTGCCAGCAGCAGTGATGGTGATAAAGAGATAAGAAGTGTAGAAATCAAACCAGTTTTTTTTGCTCTTTTTTTAATGCTATAAGTTGGTCGATATATTTCAATTAATTGAAGTAATGCCATGATTAAGATTTTATTGTTAATCTTAGTATAGTTCTTTCAGGCTTGGCTATATTTCCTCGTGATGCAAATGGTCGGTTCATATTTCCGTCTGGACCGAATGGCAGGCCCACAGCACCTGTAAACATCTATGGTATTACTTAATATATGGATTTTTCTAATTTTTTTAAAATGTGAACAGCTCATGCTAAATCATGTCACTTCATTGTTGAAATAAATTATATTGAAAGATTGACATTTTATCATTCCTAATTCGTTTAAGAAATTTCTTACAGGTATCCCAGTAATGCCGTTGGATGAACAAGGCAAACCAGTAGTACCATACGATGCGAGCGGAACACCCCTCATTCATTTGGCCAGTGATGGTAGTTTTGTTATCCGTGTTTCTGTGTTTTCTTATCACAAAAAATTTCAGCTTATGTTTAGCCTTTTCAGTCTACGGTTAGTTTGGGCAACCAAAAGCAACAATCAGAGGAATGCGGCCAATGCTACTATAGCGGCGCGTATTGCATCACTACAGTCATGTTCTGTTCTTCCTTTACTATGATTTATTTTTCGTTGTAAATTCTTTTCTATGAAAAATGGAGCAGAAGGCACTGAAAGGAATAGAAAGTACTAGCGTAAATTGGCATTATTGGTATTTGGCTCGATTTGTAGGCATAAATCGATGTTTTCTGTGTGCTAGAACGTGGAATCGAGCAAATCAATGATGCGCCCCGAATGTTGCTTGCCTGAGCCGAAACTCTCTGAGGCTGTACTGTATCAGTGCCTGAAAAAGGAGAAAAGTGGTAAAACGAAATTAAATACGACTTCATGAGTAGGCTTTTGTTATCCATTTCTTAGTTTTGCTACGCATCTATTTTGCAGGTATAACTCCTCTTACCGAAGAAGAATACCAGTACTCTTTGCAATGGAATGACTATTACAGCCGTTATTATAAGAATACTGCAGAACAAGTTTGTTGCCTTTGATTTTTCAATTAAATATAATAGAAAAATAGATTGAATTTACATAACTGCTGAAAATTTAAAATTATTTAAAATTTAAAACTATTTTTCGTTCATAAAGCCAATGTTCGAATAATAAATGAGGTACAGACGGGAACGTTCTGGTCGTTCCACAAAATCTTTCCATTTGTGCCTCATTTATTTTTATGAACGAAAAAAGCTCTATTAATCAATAACATCTAATCCATCTTTGATTGGGTTCCCTCAAGTTCGGTCTCTCCTGTAGGAACTCTTGGAAATAAGTAATTTCCTATTTTGACGTTATCCAATCGTTTCTGTTCTAGCTCTGCAGTAAGTGTGATCGTCCGCTTTCATACTTGCACAGTTTCTAGGAAATTTTTTCCACATTATTCAACCTTATTTGATCGGATTATTGAAACTACACGTTTGAGTTCGTGCATAATTTAGAAAGTAAGCGGTTCAAATCAGTCTGTGGCACAGCTGACGACTACGGACGATACGTATGAACAAAAAGCGAGAAATATGAGGTTGCTTAAAAAGGTAGAGTTATTTTGATTTTAATTCTTAAAGAGTTACTATTAGAAAAATTCCAGTTTGATTTCCAGTTTCACTTTCTCATGAATTTTTGTCGGATTCCAGGTTCGACCTGAAGATATCGATTTACCACCGTGTGTGCCACCTCCACCGTTAACACAACCTCCATTGCTAGTTTCGGATGGATCAGCTTTATCTGCTGAAGTGGAGAAAAAAGCAACGCCTGATCCTGCTTTGAAAGCAAAAACCAAAAGAATGATTGAAATGCAGCTAAAATTCTCGCGTAAAAAGTTGCGTGAGGCAGTTAATTCCTCAGTTGCAGTAGTGTCCTCTAGTGAAACAATAAATACATCCGCTGAGCATGCATCATTACCGCGGCAACCGAGTAATTCACCGGAAAGTATCGACAAAATGGAATCACCAAAAGAACGTCCTCCTCCTCCTCCCCCGACGCATACTCTAATTCCAGATCCGCCTACACCAGCAGAACCTGATAATAACATCGGAATCAGGGAATCATTTAATGCAGCATTCGATGGTGCAGCGAAATCATTGAATTCACAGATTATCCAAAAATTAAGCAGAAATTCTAGTGATGATTCAGAGGTAAAAGAGTATGTCGCCGTCATCCAAACAGAACCCACTTCAATTCTAAATATATCAGACACTGCAATCAAAACATCAGGTGATATCACGAAGAGCTTTGAAAATCCAAAATTATTCTCCGGTTTATGCAAAAATATGGTAAGTGAGTTTCAAACAGATAGTGGAATCTTTGGAAAAGATGCTACAACGAAACTGGATGAGCGCATCTCTAGATCGAAAGGTGGAGAAATCATTTCAGTAAAGCAACCGGAACTTGTTTTGACAGATGTTGCCGTTGAATTGAACATCGTCTCGGGAAAGCAGCCTCAATATAAAGAAGATGTTGAGGAAGAAAAGGTTCTGTCGTATTAGTTTTTATCGTTATTAAGATTTCTGTAAAAGCTTAGGCCTAAAATTCTTTTAGGATAATTTATAACATATTCCGGGAATGTTAAATTGTTAAATTATTTTTGTGTTAAATTATTGTTAAATTATTTTTAAATTGTTAAATTATTTTTGTGTTAAATTGTTAAATAAAATGTTAAATTATTTTTCAAGATCTATCCATTTCATCAGTATTTCATTATCATCAGTTTAAACGATATCGCTGAGACAAACTAAAATTACACATTTTAGATGACAACAAGGACACGACCATCTGTTGGTAATAGTTACCAGTCAAAAGCCGAAAATCAGATATTGCGAAAACGTAATGATAATGAATCTATTTCGGCTTCACATGAAAAACGTTCTGAGAAAAAAATAAGTCATCGTGATTGGTCGAAAGGCAGAAGAAGACGAAGAAGGTAGGTTTTAAGTTTATAGATTTCTGACATTGTTTCTTTGGAAGAATTGCTTTCGGTGGAGCAGTTGATTCGGTAAAAGAAAATTTTTGCAACTGTTGCCATTTGTTCATTCTTTTGTAAATAAACTCTGGTAATCATGTGTATTTTAATGCTAAATAAATTTTTTCAAGTGGAAGCAGAGAGCGACGTTCACGAAGTCGATCTCCATATCGTGACTCACATCGTAGAAGCCGTTCCCGAGGGGTGAAGCATAGAAGTCGAACTCGGAGTCGTACACCACGTGATTATTACTATCGTAGCAGATATCGTTCTCGAAGTCGAGATCGATTCTACAGACACGAGAATCACGACCGTCGTAGTTATCGACGTTATTGGACACCTGATACTGAAGATAAATATTCATATCGAAGACGACACTCCTCGTCTAGAGAGAGATCTTCAAGACACGAAAGGTGATTTCACTGTTGTATATGTTTTTGTAAATTTGCAACTTAGAATAGCTATATCATTAGTTCACTTTGTTTTCCAACTTTTTATAATAATTTTTTTCAAGCCTAAAACATTTGTTGATATTAGCACCAAATTGATTTTCATGTATTTTAGTTGTAATTCATCCACTTTTGTAGGTTATATTGATTTTTTGAATTGTATATTACTGCTTAAAAAAATTTTTACATATTTCTTTGAGTTACTTGTTGCAAATTGGAAGAATATCTTAGTTCTTCAATTTTCAAAAAAGACATTGCTAAATTTACAGGAGTGCAAGCCGAGATATAACGCCAACAGCTGACAAATCAAGCAGAAGCCTTAGTTATTATGAACAATCAAAAAGTCGTACCGAATCACCAGCTGTTTCGCGGCACTCTTCTATTGCACGTTCGGTTTCACAATATAAGACCACAGATAGTCGTAATCGGAGCTCCAGTCGCCGTAATTCTCCGGGTAATATTTCATGCTCTAAAATTCACAAAATCTTTGATTAAGCATAAAGTTTTAGTGAATTATATCCTTAAAAAAAAGTTTTAAATTTCAGAATACGATATTCCACAAATAACAGAACATGAGTCCGAAAAATCGCCGCTGCAACCGACTGAAGATCTGGAGTCCATTAACGGTACAATTGATATAGTACACAAATCAGCCCATCACTCAGCAAGCTCTCGCAGTGAGAAGTATGCTTTTAAAATTTTCATTGCCGAATGCTGCACAAATTTATACGTTAGATGACTTATTTACAACTGAGGTCAAATGAAGAATACAAGGCCTTTCAGGGGGAGATCTGATATGTGGAAAGATTAACGGACATATCCATGAATGATGCAGAGGCGAAGTCAGTGAAGATAAAATCTTCTAACTGCAAGAAGGGATATTCCCTTCTTGGTTTGAATTTTAGTAATTTATTCAGGAACCGAGTTCAGATTTGCTCCTTCTTAATGAAATCGCCATTTTTCAGGGGTTCGGTAAAGGGACTGGAAGTTAAGGCTGAGAAATTAAAGAAACACAAGAAAACCAAGGAAAGGCATAGAAAAAGAAAGAAGAGTCATCATAGGAAGTTAGTTACAATAGTTAATTTTTATTATTTATATAAAATTTCATTATTTTCATTTTTGCAAAACTTATTACGTATCCTGTGACCCATAAGCATATTTTTGCATATACCGCAATGTTGATCTTTTTTAGAAGAGATAAAAAAAAGCCAAGTCCGTTTATGGCTGAAAGTGAATTAGATGAGAAATGTAAGGCGTCGTCAGTTCTGTTAGAAGAAACAGATTTGGATCTGTAAGTATAATCATTTGACATGTTAATTCGTTTTCAGCTTTACCATTTTTTCCAAATTTGTCACTGTCTCATTACCGTTGCTAATATTTCCTTCACTTAGCGTCGGACTTTTTTGCTTATACCTCTTCATTAAGTTGTAACAAATTTATTTATTTCAGGAATACATCCCTGAGTCAACTAGCCGATGAAGAGGCAGAAACAATTGCCAATAGGAAAAAAGAGTCGATTGATTGTAAAAATGTAAGAATCATTGATAAACTTTCTTTCATCCAAGGAAATTTGGAAGTTATAAATGACAAATGAAGGGTTTAATTTTTAAATTCATACAGGAGAGAGTGAAAAAGAAGAAAGAGAAAAAAAAGAAGAGAGAGCGTCGCAACACTAGCACGGAAAGAAATGACATCACGAAAAAGGGCTCACGCGAAACATTGGAAGATGGTGAAATCATCACCGAGAAAGATATGTCACCAAAGTAATTTTTATTTCATGAACTTGTTTATCCTTTTTCTTTCTTTTCATTATTTAGCATGCTAATCAGATCAGAACTAATGTGAGTTGCATTTAATCGACTTCATATTCAGTGTTAATACCAATAAATTCAGTCACCTGCAAATTACAATACTATTCTTTTTCTGTCTTTGTAGATGTTGGATAAAAAGTCAATTAAACATCAATTTTAATAGCTATTCGTTTCAAAATCTATGATAGTTATTCATCAAATGCTTTTTGTTGATGAAGTATGATCTGTTTCAGAACGAGGGGAAAAGTGGTTAATTATGCTACATCTGAATCAGAAGGGGAAAACAATAATACAGGAGAATCGAAAAATCCTGCTGAACAGCCAGTCGAAAATTGTAATGCAAAAGTGAGTTTTTATTTTTCAGTGAATCAATCGTTAATTAATTAGTTGGCTTTTATTTTATGCGTTAATAATTGATGATTTAGAACTGATAAGTGAATTCAAACCATTTAACTTCAAACATCTTTCTAGTTAAGAGGTAAGGAATAATAGTTTAAATGAAGCAAAAATAACCTTATATTGATCCAGTGCAATTAAATTTTTCATCGCTTAGAGAAACGATTTAGATTCAGTTAAAAGGATTCCTGTTTTGTTGGCTTGTGTAGAAACTTTCAGCTAGTTAACTTTTTTTTGGAGTAACATAACAGTTTACTGGAAAGAGTAATAGATCGTAAAGTAGTACTTCCTTTTCTTCTTTTTCTGAATAAAAATATTCTGCAGGGTGTTCTTCCGACGATAGAGTTTACAGTGAATTCTAAAGCGGCAGAAAATTCTACCAAACTTAAAGAGGATTTCAACGATCCTAACATTCGGTCGTCAGTTTTGTCGTTCGATTTTGTTGATGAAGTATGTTTTCAGTTGATTTTCTATAGCATTTTTTATTCGCTTGAAATTGTTTTTTATCAGGTTAATTATCTTCTTTCACATAAGAATAATTTTTGGAATGGCAATGAATCTAAAAATCCTGAGGTCAGTTTTTTTGTATGTACACTGTTTATGAAAATGATTAAATAATTTTGTTCTTCAACAAAAGCTGCTTGTAATCTGTTTTGAGTCTATCAGTTATCATACATAAGGTAGTCTTATACTCTGCCACCTGTTACAGGTACTGAAGGTCTCTCCAGGTAATATCAATATGTCTAAGTTAGAAAAGAACGTGAAACTAAATTATGAGCCGATAAATCCTAAGAGGGAAACAAAGATTACAGTGGATCTCGAAGATGATGGGTAAACTTTTTCTCCAGTTGAAAACAAGATTACTCTTTTATATCAAATTCGTTGCGCTTTTTAAATTGAAATTTGTTGGAAGCGACACTATGTTGTTCCGAACTTTTACCTGCATTTGGAAAATGTTGCTAGGTTATTTTCAAATATTTGTAGGATTTCCAGTAAACTTAAAGATTCGACCATCGATTTCAACGAAATTACTGCTCGGGAAGCAGAAAAATTGAAAGCGGGTAACATCACGGAGGCAATGAATAAGTTGAAGGAACTGCGTGGGTACGTCAAGTCGAAAGTAACAGTTTCAAATTCGGCAACTGAAACAGAAATAATAAAACATTTTAACAAAGCAAGTGGCAATGATTCCACAATTGTCGGGGATAGTTTAGCCGATGTTCCGTTACCAAAAGGAGTGCAAGTAGCAGCTGATCTTATTGAACGAATTGAACAAACTGTGACACCTGGAGTTCGAACACAAGAAGCTTGTACAAGTGCTAAGATCGATTTGATGGATAAAGATGTGAGGAAAAAAAAGGAAACGCTTAAGCGAAAGTGGGAAGAAGATGAAGAGGATGAATTGAGCAGATTAAGGTATCACAGTCAAAATTATTTGTATGTTGCAGTTTGGTAGATTCAATTTTTTGTGTGGATATGAGTTTTCCTATCAAAAAAATTAATTCCAAGCACCTTCCAGATATGAAGCATTGCGAAGCAAAACACGAAGGCTAATGAATGATCTAAAAGCTGAACGGCGTCGTTTAAAAAGAGAGCGCCTGCGTGCTACCATTGCAATGCGACGAGCTCGTGAGCGATCGGTTGATACTAGCGTTGATGAGATTTTGCTTGCCGATACTTCCGATAGCAGCGAAACAGATGATTCTGATGACTATTCATCCTCACATAAGGTTGCTTTTTTGTTAGATTGCTACATTTCTGTGCTTATTGAATGTTGAGAGTTGGAAATTTTTAAAACTTGATATCGCGGAAATACAACCCCTCCCCTAATTAAGCTATGGAAATAGTAGTCTTCTAGTAAAGTATAATTATTGTGTTAGACTTAGTTTTCTGATAAGAACCTAAGGCTAGCTGTAATCTCTTAATGTTAATGCTGTTAATCAGTCATTATGCCTCGAAATTATCCAGTGCCTCGAATGGAACATATCTGAGTATTGAGTTAGGATGAAACTGGTCACCATCTTCCTATAATTTCATATTGTTGTTTTTGATTTAAAAAAATCGTTCGGATTATGGATATATATTTAATGATTTTTAAGATTAGTTATACTTTCCGGGAGCAATAAGAAGTTTCATTTTCAAGAGCCTTTCAACTAGAAAATTATACGTAGTATTTTAAACCATTTCACCTCTTTGTAAATTTCTTGTTTCAAAAATTAGTTATCGGTATCATACCATTGAAATGACATAGTACTAATTAATTATGCATAAGTTGTTATTCATATGGTATTCTTAGAATGTTTTGAGTTATTCTTCATTTGATTCATCTCAGTCGCTACATTACCAGAGATTTCAGTCACTATGTAAGTGGCGTATCTTTTAAGAGGGAAATGAAGTCTATTTTTTGCTAGTATCAATTTATTGCCGCTGTGTCGCTACTACTATTGTTTGATTATATTCAATTTTATGAGATTTTTATTAGCTGTTGTCAAAGGAAACCGCAGTACCATCCGGATCATGAAGCTTTAATTTGATTGTTTTAGGTCATCCAGCAGGCTGGCTGACTCATTGACTTTAAGTGAAATTAAATTAAAGCTTAAAGTGAATGAATGCGGAAAGGCGGAACATTTGAACTTTATATAGTCTTGCGCATGTATATAAATGGTTTTTTCTCTTTGCTCAGCTTTTTCAACTGAGATGGACAAATACAATTTAAGAAATGATTAATACACCCCATATAGAATTTTTTTGTTTTTTTTTTTAAATATTTTATTTAAAACGAGACTGAGAAAGGTATAATAAGGCGATGAGTGAAAGCATGGCATACTGATAATTAGTAAGTCATAAGACAGATAACTAAGGAGTTTAAAGATCTGGACATGAAATTAACTGAATTCGATGTTAGAAGAAGTGGAGCACTATTGGACCCAAATGTAGTTTTATATTAGCTTCTTTAAAAGGCGTTTCTAGTTATTATATTTTACGTTTAATCTTTTGATTCAATCCATTATTATTGATGAAAGAAATAAGATAAAAAAACAAATCGTTACTCGATCATCATATCCTGTTAGCAATAGCAATCCCATATTTGGTAAATTAAGTCTGACATAGGCAATTATCATTTGTTTTTCTAAAATTTTATTTTACATGCGTTGTGGTTTGTTTTCGGAATGTTGCAGATATTAACTTCCTGCATTAGATTTCAAAAATCACTGAAGTTTATATGTTTCGTTCAATTATCCGTAAATCAGCGGTAGCATTGCAGCATATCTGTGTTAAGATAATCATATATTAGAGAACTCATTGAAATGGAGCAATTTTCGGGGAAATTGGCACATTTCCTGTCTCATCATCTCTCAAATAGCTATTGCTGTAGAGGGTCATCACATAACATTATCCAGAATGAGTACTGCGAATTTGCTTTCGCCGATCATGTTCCTTCAAGCTTTCCACCCATCTTCACCATAGTGCCATTTTCATTCTTTTTACCTTGCACGCTCGGTACGCTCTCGCTTCAAGCACAATCTATTTCCTGTATTCTGTGCTGTCAATTTTTTTCAAACAGTTTCGTTCTTCCTGTTACATCATGTGTTTCTAGGATTTTGTTTTTTTTTGAATAATTTGTAAAATTTCTTGAAAATTTTAGACATTAAGGTTGTGTTTTGCTCTGAAATCCACCACACCATTATCTGTGGGAAGTAGAACAGTTATTCGGAAATCGTTTTGAAAGTAGACTTCGAGAAGACCTTTCCACAGGGTTTTCAATGACTGTCTTGAGGGTTAAATTCCCTACTTTCGAATTTGTTGTTTAAGATCATATCTTGTAGTGATGATAGTGGCTATTTTGGAAATGTATTACCAGCTCCTTTCTTACTGATATTTCGATTATTTGCATATGTGGGATTACTGCATGGCTATTCGATACGAGATTGTTCCAAGTAATCTCCCATTTCTTGCTTAACTGCTTTACACTAAGAGCTCAATTATAACAGTGCGATTTTAGTATTTTAAGTGTTAGCATCAGTTACATAAATGGAATGTATTGAAACCGATGAACCATCTTGTCATCTGAAAAGGGCTATTTGTCTCACCCTACTCTTTGTAGAATAATAAGTTGTCACATAACTCATTTTTAAACATATTTCTTTCACTTCTTACCATATCGAATCGATTGTTATTGTACAGCATTATTTGCAATCCCATATTTGCTATTATCGATATCAATGGTTCCACTTTTCCTTTGCACGTAAGTTTTGTCTTTCTGATTCACTGATATAATATTTGCTTTTAAAAGCCAATCCGGCCCAGTTATCTGAAGAAATTTCGTTTTGATTTTATTGTGGAAAATTTTCTTTGAAAAGAAGAGAGAAAGAGACTTGGTTCTGAAAGGAATTCCATCAATACAATTGCGAGGATGATACTACTCTGGAAGGAGCTTTTAATCGAAATGTTGGAGGAAAGGAAAACTACCCGTTTAATGCTTTAATTCATTTGGCCGGTAAAGTTGTGGGAAAGGGAGTGAATGAAACTTCAGTCTTGCCTATCAGTAACTGTTCATTACTGTTTATCGAGTAGTTAAATATTAACTCTTAATTCATATTTCATTACGATGTTGTGTCCAGAGTACTTTCTAAATTCTGATCAGGTAAACTAATTGATCATCGGAATAATGCTGGTTTGACTATTTTCTGTGGTTTTTTTCTCGAGGGGATTCGATGCTTTTCTAAAGCACTATACTTTTTAGCATGAAGGTTCTGATATTCCAATTTGTTTCTGTTTATTGTTCATGTATTTGCATCAACATTTTCAATGTATTTTGTTATCAATTTGTGAAATTGGTACTCATCCTGAAAAGGATGTTTTTAAATAGAAAAGCTTAAAAATTTTTTCGAATAAAAAATCAAAAAACATGTTGGACAACTTGTGGTGATGATTTCTTCATTTTTCCAATCTTTTCCTTCGCTACCGTACCCTTTTGCTCATCATCGCACCATCTACTATCACTATCATGAGAAAATAGATTAAAAAGTTCTTTTTGCTCACTCACATCTTCAAAGAATTTCACCTCCTTTTGTTACCAACCGCTTTTTTCAATTAATTTTTGGGATGTTGATTCGAGTACATTTTGCATTCTTTCTTTTTCTCTGATTCGACGATTTCCGAATTTCTTGTTTCTCTTTTCCATCATCTGACAAAATACTTGCTTGATGCATAACGTGAAGTGGCATTCATTGTGGTTTCCTTTTTTTGTAGCTCATACATTTCAACCTTAAAATTTGTTTCCTATTCTTGTGGAAATATCTAATTTTCCACACTATTTCTGTTACCCTCAAATACCGTAGTCATATTCACAGATATATTTTTTGCCAACAGTTGTTTCCTGAGAATTTTTGTCACTTTGAAAGGTATGTGTGGAATGATGTTACGGTATCACTTTGTAGTATTTTCTTAAGAGAAAAAAATGTAAATCGTTGTAACATTAACAAATTTTTACCTTGGGATGCAGAGAAGGGTTATTTGGGAATGTTTTTGTGGAATAATTTTTTCAGTTTTTTGCAGGATTAAAGGTTAGTATGTTGCATTCTTACCTGCTTGTGAAAGTTCATAAATAGGTAGTGAGATTTACCGTATAGTGGGTCGCTTTTTTTATTTTTGTTTGCTGTGGTAATGCTCCTACTAAAAAATTATGAGTGGCATAAGGAATATCTCTATATAATGAAAGTGAAGTCGTGAAGTCGAATTACTACGCCATTCTAAATTTTTAGTTTCGGGCCGTTCTTGATAAATTTCCAGTTTATATCAATAATATGTTGTTAGAGTTGGTACTTTCGGCAACAAGAATTAAATAAATAAAAGAACTGAAGTGGTTTATTATCTACCTTCCGCTCCATCATGGATATGATTTTTTTCTAAAGAAGCTCATAATGGCTGTAGTTGTGGATTTATGTAAGTAGTGAGCAGAAATCAGTGATTGAGAGAAGTAATTGATGACTTTTTTTTAAGTGCTTGTTTTAAACTATCATGTGACTTCACTAATATTCGCAGCTGTCTATGATAGTTCGCGGAATTTTAGTGGTTATTAATGATTTACACTCATCCTAAATTGCCTGGTAATTATTATCAGCTTAAATGCAGTGTTAAATGACCATAATGTAAAATATTCGTTACTCCTACATTTTTTGCTATACCCTACTGAAAAAGTAGATGAAGGTGGGAAGATAAAGTCTCATTTTACTATTGATCGTATTTGAAAAAAAATTCTAACAGATGATAATTTTTTCTGGTTTTCCTTAAACCGTTTGAAAGGTGTGCCAAAACCCATTTTCCGAGATCAGCACATTTTATGGAGTTTTTTGTGGTTTACTGGCAATGAAGCATTGAGACAAATGTTAAACATCTGGAAATTGTTTATTTTTCGTTGTGTAATGATAGTAATACCGTAAATTCGAATTTTATATTACGTAAGTTTGCATTCTTTTCTGTTTATTTTTTGCTTGTTCAATGTATTGATCATTTCAAAAATTATTCGTTTTACAGAAGAAGCTGTTAAGACGAAAACGATATGGTGGAAGAGAAGCCGTCATTATGCACTTGAATCAGTAAGAATATTTTTTTCAGTTTAAAAAGAATAAAAAAGAAAACTCTCGATATATCACATTTTCTTTCTCTGAAAACGAGGGATTTTTTAAATTTTTAAATGTGCGGAAGTATAGCATATACGGTAATTTTTTGTGTATGTCGCTTGTTCAATTAAAAGAATCACCGCTTTTGAAAGTGAGATGATTCACAGGAGCTTAAATCTTTACAGTAGACATTGTGGCGTTTCTAAAATGATTTTAATAGTTCACTTTTTGAAGGGCATCTTTGAACATTAACGGTTCACTCTTTTATTGTTTTGAAATTTGACAGTGTTACCTAATTTATGGAAATTTTCGGACTTTGAGACCAGCGCGGAGATTAATTTTTACAGTCAAGTAGGAGCCGAAATATTACACGCATGTACTTTAATCCCTAAATTAAGTATATTAGCAAATATATATTTGCTATTTGCATGAACAAATATATAATATATATTGTTCGTTATAATATATATATGTTTGTGGTGCGTGAATATGTGTGTCCGGTCTATATATGTTATGCGTATCCGCGGTTTTGCGACTATGAAAAAGATGGAAAACCCATTTCGGTGGTCGTTTATTGGGAATGATTTATGACTCGTTGAGGTTAATTATGGGTAAATATCTCGTCTTCTTCATTCTAAGTGTTGCATATTATACACTCTCCTTTGTTCATTCTCTCTCCATCTTTATCTCTGTGTTATCTCTTTTTTATCTAAATTTTTTTGATATATAGTCAAAAACTTGAAGATTTTCAGAGTCACCTCAGACATGTTGGACTTGATATTATTCCTGCGTAATTTTAACCCTTTAGAATGCTTAGATTTATATTAATGTCCGAGGATGAATTCTAGACTTTAAGGATTCCCAGTAACTTGAAATAAGGCATAAGGCTCATTTAAGTCTTGATGCAGAGTACTTATCGGTAGCTTTTGCTAACTGCTACTTCTCTTAGACTTTTTCGGCTGAATGAATTGAAGAAATTATCAAATTTCTGCTACGAAGAAAGATGTTCCTAACCGAATGAGAAAAGGTTAGCAAGCGGAAAAAATACCTCTCAATTGTTGTTCCATTAGATTTCCTAAGTTCTAGGATTTCCAAAATTTTGATAAATAGTACGCTCTATTTTTCAACCGTCTCATTATTTTTTTCTATTTTTTTCTTGTATTTCTTATCTCTGGTCTCCGAAAAGGCCTTGAATGAACGAAACAACAATGCAAATTCTCATGCTATGTGTTACGATAGTTGAATATTTTTTATTCAGCTCTCATTTTTTTCCGTTTCGCTGAACATTTTGGAATTTCCGTTAATACCATACCTGTTTTTGGGTCGAACAAAACTAACGGTAGGGGAGCTTCGTTGAGCGAAGGAGTTTCCACTCAAAAACTGGAGCTATTCAATAAAGTTACTACACAGAATCACGTAGTGCTAAAACCAAAATTTAATTTTCTGAAATGGAATGAGAACATTTCAAACTGCAATGCATTCAGTGTATGTATGTATATAAATTTCCGATTTCCATAATACAATTTTTGGTTAACGGTAGAGTAAAACACTGAAAGCATCAGTTCAATGTAGCACTTTTGATTTCCTCGTCGGTTTTTAAAATACGTGGAACAGTGATCGGTTTGATAGTGATTTGTTTTATCGTATATCTGTTTGCCATTTCATTAAAATCATTATTTCAAAGTAATTGGTTAAAATCGAATTCTGCTATGATGAAACCAAAAATATCGATATGTTTTATAAATTTTTCGAAATTAAGTTTCTTTTTACAGTCTCTTTTTTCTGCTTTTAATTAGAGAGAAAAAAAAATTTACTACAGAGAATAACTTCTGAAACCATGCAATAAAATACCCTCTTCACTCTTTAGTGTCCTAAAATAAGCTTGGTCAGTTCCAAATCTCCAGTTTGCTATCTTAAGTGAGCTTTTGGAATGCTGTTTATATGTTATTATCAGGATAGCCATTGTTCGCTTCTTTTCCATATGTACCTTCAGATTTCATCTTTAAAAAATTTCTGGTTATCATGTTATAACGATTCAAAAAACTAAAATGATTTTATTTCTTAAGGAATAAGATCTGTGGATTGAAGCAACTTATTAATGACGAGGACGATATGAAGGAAGAGCAAAATCAATATCAGAAGGCAGTGAGCAGTGATAGTAGAGAACAGCTAGAATCAAATGCTCCGAACAATTTGATTTTGGTAAGTATCTCATTCCACTCGGGAAAAAATTATTGATTTCACATTCTTTGACGAGAAAAAAACACAGCTGGTTTTAATATGCCAATTTCATCGGAGACTTTCTTTCGATAGAAAAAATTGTTTGTTCATAGTTAGACTAAACTAAGAGTGACTTATATTTGTAGAAGTCTATAAAAATATCCAATCATATAATTTTTTCAATTTAATGACTTATTAGAGCGCAGGTTAAGGGGGCTGATACATAGCTATAAAGCTGGCATTTCTTTATAATAAAGTTAGGTCGGTTTTTATGTACTCCCCCGAAACAAGTGAAAAGATATCATACATAGCTTTTCTGAATATTTTTATATGTATGTGTGTCCCTTGGATTACTGTGTATCTATGTTTATATGCCTTTTTATTTCTGTTAAATTTTATGATGCTAATTATACATGGAATAAATCAAGGGCACAAATCATGAATGTTTCTATTGATAATACTTCTTTCTTTAAGCTTCGTTTTCACTTAAGAAAATTGTGATCTAAATAGAAATTTCTATTAAAGCGGTAATAGTAATGTTGTGTACAAAGACTAAAATATAGTAGAAATAATGGGATTGAAATATTGTTTAGAAACATTATGTGTTTTAATGAAAAACGAATTGTAGTTTCAGACTTAAGATAGGAAATGACATTGTTAGTTTATTTACGTTCTTAGTCCTTATTATTCTGTTAATACATCACACTTCGGACTACGTTCTATAACTTTCAGGAACTTCAGCAACGTATAGGTGGATCGAATGACAACGCATTGGCATTGTTGGAACAGCTGAAGAAATGCTTAATTGGTGGAGCGGTGAGCTCGAACATACATCTCAATCCAGAAGTGATTAGAAAGAATGCTTAAACTTTGTTTTCTTTGTTTTAGCAGAACTTGTTGCAATATTTCTTAATTAACAGCTTACTTTGATTTCTTCTACGGCATCAAAATTATTGATACATTTTCCCAACTATTCATCGTTTCATTTTAATTTGAATTTATTGCATCACTTGGTCAACAATGTTGTTTTTCTATTTTTATTATTGGTTTTGTTGCATTTAGTTCTGCATAGTGTATGAAACAAATGCAAATTAGTAATTTTTATTCGTGGAAACTATATTTTATTATCAACATGAATGGATTTTATGCTAAACATGTATATCTATGATTTGAAATCATAAAATTGGTCATTATTTTTTTAACCTACAAAAAATCATCCCTTTCTCACTAAGTCTCTTCGTTTATCTTATTCTCTTCTCTTGTGATACTTGAAAGGTCAATAAAATTGAAAGCAATGAATGAACTTATCAGTAATTCAAACAGACTTCAGATGAGGACATCGGTTACTGTATGTAGCGAGCAATCGGAGTAGGAAGTACAATGGTCAGGATGAGCAGCCGTTTCAATGTGATACTAGCAAAAAGATAGGAGGATAAGCATGAGGAAATGCTGAATAACAAACCTGCTAGATTTTAATTTTGGGGATGAAAGGAAACAAAAGTGATCGAAAACAGTGCAGATTGGATAAATTAAAAAGAATAAAAGCTTTCGTAAGTTCCACCTGTGGCAGGCATTTAGTTTTGCAAATGCAATTTTGTATTTAGCATAATGAAAATCTTCATGTGGAAGGAAAGTCGGAATTTTTGATAAAATGTAACAATTTTTCAAAAATTTGTTGCGTATAGAGGTTTTTTGAAGTAAGAAAAAAACAGGATTGGAAAGGTCACATTAAGTAGGTGTGAATTTTATTTGACTCAGAACGACTAGACGATGGCATTAGTGGAAAGGTGCATAGCGAATAATTATAGGACCAATGAAATTTTGAAGAAATTCGCAATTTTCGAATTACCAGGTACGATCTCACTGCTATTATATACTATTACTATCTAAAAGAAATTTTGTTATAACAAATAACGTTTGTGGTTACTCATTCTCAGAATTTCAACTATTAAATAATGCGAAATTAATTTGATTTTAAAATTTCACTTTTCTTATTGGTTAAAAATTTAAATCAATTTTTAAATCAAAACTAAATCAATTTTTGCATACTATTAATAATTTTAAATGCATGAAAATTTAGCAGAAGTGATCGCGAAATTTGCATTTGGAATTTTAAGGCATTCATCCTTATCATCTGCATTTAGAATTTTAAAGCATTCATCCTTATCATCTGCATTTGAAATTTTAAGGCATTCATCCTTGTCGAGGCATAAATGTTTCGCCAAGCACAATTGGTAGGAAATTTTTTTAAAAGTGTATTCATATTTCATTGTCTTCCTTTACAATCCGTTTAATGATAATAATATCAATATAATATATATTTTTATGTCAGTTCACTTTTAGCTGAACATTTGTGATTATACTTGAAAAAATATAATTTTAATTCGAATCCTATTCTATGAGTAAATAAATAATTTCATTAATACTTAGAAGAGAAGAGACAGAAAGTTTAAATTTTGTTTTTGAATTTATAAAAATTCATTGACTAGTATTTTCAATATATGATATAAATAAGTAATGAAATTAAAAGGTCGCAAAGGTCGCAATTAAATTAGAAATCAATAAATGATAAATTTGAAAAGGTAGTAGTGTTGCAATATTTTACTAACTTTTGCACTTTAAACAATTTTTACACAAATAATAGCAGTTGTAAATTTCATGAAAATTAGGATTCACTTTAAAAGAAGCGAAACTGGGTGATAATAATTATTTAATTATACTTTGTTTATTATACTTAGCTTTTCTCCTTCTTTTTTTCTTGCTATTAAATAAGATGGATTAGCTAAGCTAAGAATATAGCTAAGCTAAGAATAAATTACGATATAAAGCGAATAGTGCGAAAGCTTTTAAATCTATTATTTAACTTACATATTTATTTAACTTGGATATATATATATATATCCAAAGTTAGCATTGTAATAACGAAACACAGATATTACAAATTGCTTAGTTAAAAAAAAATTTAAATTAATTTTCGAAACAATGAATATTCCTGTGCTCTTCCCTTGCTTTATCCTCTTTTTTCTTTTTCATCCGTCGATTTTGAAACCAAATTTTGATCTGTCGTTCAGTGAGACCAAGCATTCGATTTAATTCAATACGCCGTCGTCGGGTTAAATATTTGTTGTAGTGAAATTCCTTTTCAAGTTCCAACGTTTGTTGACGACTGTACGTTTGTCTCCCTCTCTTCTTACAGTTATCTGCAATGAATGCCTTTTTTTGCATTTTGTTTCTGGATCATCGCTGAAAGTGAAGAAGAGCACAGGAATATATAGATATATAGATATAGATCTATAAATGCAAATTAGGACTCTTTTTATCAAACTGTTTTTTTAAATGAAAATTTTAATTTTAGTATATTTTGTTAAATATGTTTACAAAAATGAAAATACCAGGTAAAGAGATGCAAGTAGATGTAAAGTTAATGTAACATTTTGGAAAATTAGAAGATGAAGAATAAAAAGTTGAGAATTAGATATTCCTTTATATTTTGCAATTAATAAGATTTGTTGAAATAAATTTAGTTAATTCGATGTTTGGAAGTTTTAAATTGAGAAAGTTCAAAGTTTTAAACATAAACAAAAAAATGTCAAATCAGAGAAGAGATCGTTAAAAATTCAATACAAATTTTAAAATAAGATAGACGAAGTCAGATGCTTTATTAATTGGATATCAAAGTTTTAAAATTTTGAGTGTTGAATAAAATTTGTATAAAATTTTTGTTGAATTGTAGCTGAAAGAAAAAGACAACAGCATTTTCTACCATTTAAAACTTTTTCATTCGTTCATTCAAAAGAAAAAGGCGCTCAAAGAACACTCCCATAATACGGTAATCATATAAAAATTAAAATCAAAACTTGTGATCACAATCAAACATACAATGCGTCAAACTAAAAGGGAAAATCAGTTTTTGCGAATAGAATTAATTCAAATGCATGAAATCAAACGATAGAAAATTGACGGAAAATTTTTTAATTGAATTTTTAACTTTACTCAAATGAAATAAATTACTTTACTGACGCTTAATGAGCTCATTTGCAACTGAACAGAAGGACGGACTGCATTTTTTTACAGGTTTCATACCTTTATGTCAAAATGGCTTCACACCTTCTAAGTAAATGAGCATAAGTTTGTCGCATATTCTATAATCAATGAAAACCACCGGTAATGAAGTAAAGAGAAACATTGATCGGATGCATTATAGCACATGTAAAATTGCACACATACAAAATATAAAAACCCATCAAATCAGATTTCATATATTGGGCGGACAAATAGGATAGGGTACATAGGATGCTGGATGAGGTGGTACCTGATTAGGCCATGGCTGGGACATCGTTGGCATCGCTGGCATGCACCAGCCTGCGCCAGCGGCTACCTTTTTATCTACGCGTTCTTCGACTGCAGCTGCGGCTGCTGCGGCTGCAGCCGCAGCAGCATTATCAACTACCAATTGCTTAGGTGGATTTGCTGGAAGCAAAGCAGAATGATCGTTTTGCTCTTCGCAACGATTCTTCTCCTTCTTGGCTTTCATTCGACGATTTTGGAACCATATTTTGATTTGACGATCGCTCAAATTGGTTTGTAGCCGAAGCTCTTCACGTTGCTTTTTACTCACATAACTGCTTTGCTGGAATTTGCTTTCGAGCACCGACGTTTGATAACGTTGATATGTTTGACGACCCTTCTTCGATTGCGCTGCAATTTTAGTTCAAACAAAATTCTCCCAAAAATTTTATCGCCTTTTTTGATCTCGTATACTTTGTCATTTTGGGATTTCTACTTCATTTTGAAAATTTGCATAAATTTCAATTTCAACTTTTAAGAATTCCTAAAAATTATCTTCATCGCCAAAAAAATATTCTTTAAAGATAAATCAATTCGCGAGGAAGAACGAAATAATAAATAAATCAAATACTGTTAACTGATTATTAAAAACACTGGTCTGAAGATGTTAAAGAAAAAATGAGGGAAGCAGAATTTAGGAATAAAATCCAAAATTTTTTTAGTTTCAAAAGTTGTTCTATTTTTATAAAATTTGATAAATTTATAAAGGATAATTTTTTATTGGTGTTTTAAATGTTATAAGAAAAAATCTGATCGAATTGATTAAACTCAAAGAATTGATCAGTAAGAAAGGGATAGTGCAATGTTACTGCTATGATATATACTGCTGTGATATAATGAGGATTAAATATCATTTGTGGATAAAGAGCAAAACTACAATAATAGTAACAACGCGATATTAAATAAAAGTTGATGTGATGAGGTTCTCTGCATAGTAAAACCCATGATAACTACAGGAAATGATGGTTGAGAAGATCAGACAAGAATCGGACTTAAAGTTCTTTAAATAGTTTAATAGGAAAAGGCCGTTACGCTGTTATTTGAATTATAACAAACAAATAAATTTCAATTCGGTGTGAATGGATCAATCCTGAACCTAATAGTTGAATGATCTATGGGGTCCGACAAAATACTTCATTAAAAGGGGTGAGAAGGGTATTAAATAAAAATTTATGGACAATTAAATAAAATGGAAAGAGAGAATGAGTATTAGCAGCATGTATACACTCATGAATTGGCCCTTAGAGACAGATAGATGGACAAATAAACACAAGATGATTGAGCGAAGAGATCGAATTAAAGTGCTACATAGCTTCATGAATATAATTTTCATTAAATTTAACTCACCATAATTTGGCCAATGTGGAGGTGCATAGCATTGTGCCGGCCAGGCAGAAAATGCAGCCGCAGCTGGATTCATTGGCTGCCCGAATTGTTGATAATAATTAGGCCAATTGCCATATTGCTGTACATATGCAGCAGCAGCACTCTGATATAAGGTTGGATCCGGTTGAGTGGTAGTTGAATTAGGGTCGCTACTATCAGAGGAACCGGAAGATTTTGTTGTTGATGAAGAAGTGGTATGACCAACACCTTGTGTCATTTGTGCAAGCCGTTGCAAATGATCATCTGTTGGAATAGCAGCAGCTACTGCAGCTGATGCTGCCGCATCCTGGAAAGTTCGTGAACCGGAAGCAGGAAATTCAAAACCCATCGCTGAGAGCGTTGGTGCATTCATGTTGCTGACCACGTATAATAAATTATCAGGAAAAAAAATCGAAATGGCTTATCAATGGGATGGTAAAAGAGAGATTATCAACTGGATGGATAAATATGATGGATAGATTAATGGATGAATAGATTGAATGGACTAAATGGATCACACTTTCTCCTTTACTTCTTCTCTTCTTTCTGCTACTTAAAATAGCACTGCTACTGCTCCTTTGCACATTAGAATATTGCCAATACTGCAAAATGCTGCTGCCGTTAATACACCACCTCCTGTAGACAAGACATGCACATCATGACAGCAGCAGTAGTAGTAGTAGCAGCTCAAAATACCGTATATAAAACAAAGAGGCGGAGCTATCTTCTTTGAATCCTTTGCTATCGCTCCACTTCTCTCACTCTGCTTGTTTGTTATCAGATGAGAGAATAAACTTAAAAGTCTTTTGTGGGCGTTCACCAGTGAAATTCTGATTGGTTAAATCGCCTGAAAAAATCAAAATCAAAATTACGTGAGATTGTAAGACATTACTGAAAAAGGAGAGAAATCAGTTGACAGAAAATATATTTCAACAAATTTTCGTAATTCAACTATTATCATTTTACGTGAACGTATATATTATTGATTATACGTATAGTATTGATAATTGATAATAATTAGAAATAAATATATATGGTAAATTTGAATAATAAATTATAAATATAATGTAGAAAAAAATGGTAGCAAAAAAGACAAAAAGAAATTTACGCCTTAAATTCTCTAATAAAATTGTCATTTGAACAGTTTAGTTATCTTTCGAATAGCCTAAGCATCAATCAGTAACACATACAACAACAGCAATACTACTTATAATAATGGGCCGCTTAATATACTATTAAAATTTGATTGCTTTTATTCATCAAATTTTCGTTATATCCTTTTCATTCATAAAGGAAAATTTTGGTTTAGCAAATCAAATGAATTGAAAACTAAAGATCAAATTAATAAGATTTTGAAAAAAAAGACATCGTTTCTATACCATCCATATAATATCTATCACATTCTCATTCCATATCATTTGATCATTGTGACTTTGATAATAATTTAAATAGCTTTTTCACCCTTATATTAATTAATAAATAGCATTATTGCTGATATATATTTGATGCTAATTGGATTTTATAGATTACTGTAGACACAACGTAAAAGGAGCAAAGCAACAAAAATCCTTTAACCATTTTTTTCTTTTCTCTCTCTCTCTCTCGCAGTAATATCTTTGGGAATAACAGAGTTAGACAATATCAAAGGTTAAATCATTCTTGTTTAATTTCATGATATGAGAGTAAGCCATTTTCAACTAGTTTTTTCTTTGTCTAACTGTAGGATTACGATTAAATGTAATTTAAATGTAATAGGATATTTGCAAAAATACTACTGAATAATTTGGTATTGTATAAGTTTCTTCTTAATTCATTCATTAAAAGTCTAAATTAAATCAACTTTGGAACAATAATCTAATTTGAGAAAAGTTAATATCAAAATTTTAAACATTGACAAACAATCCAAATTAAGCAAAAGTTATGGGGATTAGAAAAATACGATCGGATAATTTGGCATTGTATAAGTTGTCGAAATTTATGACTACAATTCAAATGAATGAGCAATGATCAATAACAATTTTTCAGTTTACGCTGTCAAGCTAATAAATTAAGACACCTTCAGAATCCTTTACCGTACGGGATCTCTTTATTATTGATCTATCCGATAATACGTTTGAATTTCAAGGATATTTGATTAAATTTATTAATTAAGTTATACTAATTCAAAAATTACAAACAAGAAAATGTGAAAATTTTTAAAACGAACTCAAGATAGCTGGTTAAAAAGTTCGTATTTTAAGAATTAACTCCATCTGGAATGTTTTTACATTCAATGATAATTATAAAATAGACTGCAATATTCTAAAAATCGATGAATTGCAAAGATCTAGTTTTCAGGGCTGCGAGAATGTGTTTATCTTAGGCAGGTGCAGATGGAGAATTTGGAACCGTTGTTAGGGGAAACTGCATTTTGAAGCTATTAGCGGAATGATTGCAAATTCAGCATAATTGGTGGTGATATTACATGCGGTCAAGTTATAAATATTTTTAACAAGTCAAAACAAATTTTTTAATGATTACAGTAAGTATTATCATTACGATACTTTTTGCACTCTTATCTTTGATTAGATTCGAAGATTATTGGTTAGCTATATTCTTATTGTAAAATTATTATCATAGTTTCCTCATCACTAAACGTATCAATCATATCTAACCAATGACCAATTAAGCAACCACTATTTCAATGCATTGTATGCCTTCCAGTTTAACGATGGTCGATGTTATTCGCTTAGCAGATGGATTCGGATTAATGTCTGGTAATTTGAGAATTTTATTACAAAATTAATGCCATTTAAAAAATTGCTTTGGATAATTTATTTTGTCTGTTAAATTTAATTAAACAAACAGTAACGAATACCTTTAAAATATACATATGCAACGATGATTTTTTGTAAAATCATTCAAGCATTGACAACTTATTTCATCAATGCTTATCATTCTTATCTGAATATGAGTCATCAATCCTAAATAATCAAAGTAATCGAATACAAAATGATGCAGAATGAAATGGACGGGTAATGATGGGTAGAGAGAAAAATGGAAACGAGTTGGTAGAGAAGAATTCATACTATAACAAAAAAGTGGTTGGGTCATAAAGTGGGTATATTCAAATAAAAAATCGAAAATTCAGGACAGAACTAAAAGGCATGCAGACAGACATTTCCATCCATCCTATTCCATGTGAACAGATGGAGAAATGTGGTGTAGAATTGGAAAATGGTGGAAAATAGGAAAAGGATGAAGAAAAGACCTCTGTACCCTGATTAGCAGCAGGTATGACAGCCATGGATAGATGGATGTGTGCATGTGGGTGCATGTGTGTATGTGTGTGTATGTTGGAGGTGGTAGAAGACTCGAACAATGCAATAATGGATTTTATGGTATGATTTTTGGGAAAATTTTTAAATCTGTAAAAAAAGTTCACAGAAAGTTTCTGAAAAGAATTTCAAAAAAAAGAGGAAAGAAATTTGGCGCCTTAAAGTCCAGGCCAAAATTTCATTTCGGCAATGAGGAAATCAAATTTGTTATGAGAACGATGCAGGCAATATGAAGGAAAGGAAAATTAAGAAGTAGGAATGAGTTGAACATAGTGGCGCCATGAAGACGATGCGCTTATGGCCTTTCGGTCAAATACACGGATCGGATATTTGAAATGAGATACAGGAAATAGTTAGCGAACGAATGAATCGTCGACCCCGTCAATCGAATGTAGCGAAAGAGTCACATTTTCTGTTTTTGAGTTTTTCGTGTTGTTTTTCACACATCCGGTTAATGGAGTTTTACATCACTACAGTATCTCTCGTAACTGATTTATCAGTAGATGATACTTTCTTAGATAGAAGTGATAAAACTTACTGCCTTGTGTCATATAATCTATCTGTTATTTCTTCTATAAAATGATGATTCACAAATTTTTGTTAAATATAGAACGAAAGAGCAATTAAGCAATTAAATAATTACAGAAAGGAAAAGAGCGGTATAAAGAAGATTATAAGATAATGAAACTGAGACACGACGTTTCAATACTGTGTAAGAAAATTGAGTTTGCATTCGTAAGTTTTATAGAAGAAGTTAGTAAAATTCGAAGTATTCATTGTGAGGGATATATTTTTGATTTGAAATATTTCAGTACAGGGGAAAACTGATAATTTCAAAATGCATTTGCAAACAAAAATTATTTTGAATTTCATGAAAATACTCGACTAAGTGGGAAGAGATAATCAATTGAAAATCACAATTACAAGGTTAATAATATAAGTAATCAATTTCAATATAAGCAATATCAATTAAAGCGCTCTGTGCACATTTCTAATATTAAATTCATCGTTGAAATTTAAAGTTGCATTTTAATTTTTATGATCATTTCATCACTGGTTCAATCATTACGATAGTAATAACTGATATTTTATGATCAAGTAATTTCACCCTTAACGAGAGTATAAAAATTTTAAAAAAGACAGAGAAATTTTTTCGGAGACCAATCAGATCAATTCTAATTAGTATCATTATTGTCGATGGTACCATTAAATGATACCATTATTGCCGTCATCATGACCATCATCATCATCATCAACATCCTCATCAGCCGGGAATTGTCATCATCGCTAATATATTTCCATCAGGTGAGCATCGAAATATACGACAGCAGTTCTTCAACCCTTAGCAATCGTTTCGGGTTGCTCAGATTCTTTTCCGCTTCTACCTCCTCTTCCCCGTTGTACGACCACTTCCCCAATAATATTATCACTACTAGTCGCGATGCCGTTGCATTAACGAAAATGGGTATTTTACGAGTATTGCTTGCTGCCTGCCTCACATTTCCCAGCCATTTTGATACAATTCCATTCTAATCCATTTCATTTCATATCATTTCGAACCAGTTCAGGAGCACTGTCTCCTGATGATCGGCGCAATAGTATTATTTCTCTTCCATTCATCTTACTTATTGACATTAAGCGTTTCGTTATTATTCCAGAGTTTAGTAATATCTAAAGAATACTATCCAAATCGTATGAATCAGTTTTGTTTACGGTATTCATTCTCCAAGAAACTAATTATTGAAATGCTAACATTATGTGAAATAAGAAATATTTCTCATTCTGATGCATCACTTTTAAAACGATATTCCTCTACTAATTCATTTTCTGATATAAATTACCTGATAAACTAGCTTCTGATCAACAACGAAATATCAATACTTCTTCCAGAAAACGCTTACTTCAAGCGTTATGATTCAAGTAATCAGTAAGTTTATTTTTTTTATATATCTCAGTAATTTCAAATACAGTAAGCATCATTAGATTGATTTTATTAAAATAATTCAAGCATCTCTCTGAATTATTCTACCATAAACAGAATAACTAATTAAACTCA